CAGAACTTCCTTTTGGAATATATTTTAGACATTATACAAGCCTACAAGGATTCTTCTACTTGAATATACTCTGGGTGATTCAAACTCTAAAATTAAACTCATTATCTTTCCACTTAAACTCTCTCCTTATCTTGTCCTCATTGTCCATCCATAGTCACTGAAACCAGAATCCTGAGGGACACCGAATATGCCCTCTTCATTTCTCACATGTGCTAAACATCCATTTTCTTTCCCTCTTCACCTTCCCTGCTTTTGCTTTAGTGGTTATAGCTAGCATCTATTCAGTATTTGCACATTCAAGCTGCTGATATAAATACATTAAATACTTTAACTCGTTTAATCTTCACACAAGCCTACAATTGTTATCATTCCAATTTCTCAATGAGGAAATTGAGAAACAGAGAAGTCAAGTCATTTTCCCAAATGTCACAAGAGTAAATGGTAAAACCAGAATTTGAAGGATGGTTGTTGGTAAATCGAGCACTCTCTGCTATAACTGCTATAACTTCCTGGTTTAGCCCTCATTGGTAACTTCTTGTATTATTATAGAAGCCTTTCAATTGGTTTCTCTTTTCCTGTCTCACTCTTTCCCAAATTCCAACTTTCATATGATTGAGTTCCAGACTAATCTCTCTGAAAGACAGTTCAACTGTGCTAGGCTGCTGCCTAAAGCGCATCAGTGTTTCTCCATCACCTTCAGGCTGGAGTTCCAGCTCCTTTCTGATACACAAGGTCCTTCTGGACCTGACCGCTTGCCGGACAATGAAGCCTCTTCTGAAACCTCCCATGGACATGGCATCGGCAGCTGTATGAGCCCGCTGGCAGTCTCTAAACATTGCTCCCTCAATGTGTCTCTGTGCTTTTGCCCTCGCTCAGCTCCTATTTCAAAGGCAGACTGTTATGGAAATAGCTCAAGGTCTTCAAGAACAGAATGGGCCATTACTGGTTTTCCTCAGTGGATGGAGGCTGGGCATGAGGACTGAAGGATCCCGGGTTGAATTCCCGTCAAGGACGTATACCTTGGTTGCAGGCATGATCCCCGGTCCTGGTCAGGCACATGAAGGAGGCAAATGAATCAATGTGTCTCTCTCACATCAATGTTTCTCTCTGTGTGTCTCTCCTTGCCCCTCATACTCTCTCAAAAAATTAATGGGAGTGGTCAGGGATAGCAGGGAGGTGAGGGCATTCGTGGGGAGGGGTGGGGGATGGAAGTAGAGGGATGGGGATGGGTGTGTGATACCTTAAATAGTGAAGAAATTTTAAAATAATAAATAAATAAATAAATAGAAAATATCCTTGGGTAAGGATTAACAACAACAACTAAAATCATATGTGGACAAACTTTTCTGTTAAAGATTATATTCAGCTAAGATACTGACTTCCGAGCAGTTGAAAAAAAAAAAAAGAGAGCAGAATAGGTGACTCTGTGTTTCACAGCTCTATGGACATTGTGTGGTAGATGAGTTAGCTCTTCTCTCTTCCTTCCTAAGTCCCTTGAGGGAAGTGCTGGATCTTTGGATATGTGGTAGCTCCCAAAGTGCTTGGTGCATAATCGTCACTCATGAAATTGTTGCCAAATAAGGACAAAGTGAAGACTCTACTTCTTTTAATTGGATGCCATTTTCCTAGGACAAGAAGATTGCTCTACTATCATTTGCTTTCCCTGTTTTACTTCCCTGAGGGGAAGTCATCTTGGAGTGGGGTCAGGATAAGTCAGAGGCCTCTTGGTTTAGTCTGGCATATCCTGGCATGGACATGCTGGTCTGGAGGTAAAGAAGAGGTGGGGCAGCAAGAGGAACATGAATATATTTACATTAATGAAGGGAGCAACCTGCAACACAGGAGTAATGACACCAAGACAGAAAATGCACTCAACATCCTTGGGACTTGTTTTTAAAAGAGATGAATAGGAAATTTAAAAGGGCGCATTTTTTTCTTCCTCCTTTTGCATGCCAGCCAGTGCAGAATGTCAGGTTGTAGGATTTTTAAAGAAGAAGCACACCACAGTCATATTTATTTTAGAGGATTCTGGTGCCTTTGTGACAGGCATCCAGAAGTGAAATTACCTTCCCTGGTCTTGGCTCAGTCCCTTCACCACTTCTAATCATCCCTTCAAACCCACATACATTAGATAGAGGAGTTGCCCTTCACCGCTAAAGAAACGCAGCCGCGAGTTATGTTACCGTGGAAACGGAATCTTTTTTTTTTTTTTTTTTTTTCTGCCAGACACATGGCTTCATCTGCACTGTTATGAAGCAGAACACATTGGTAGGGCTGGGAGGAAATCAAATATTCTGCCCGCCAGTGCTGTAAGTGGCCTTTGGGTGAATAAATGGCTCCAATTAGAGTACTTACATACCTTTTAACTTTAATAATTATGATTAGAGCCCCGACAGAATTTTACTTGGGAAAGAATAAAACCTTTGACTGCAGTTAAGGGGAGATATACATTCTTTCAAACAAGACCACTGTGTTAAAGAAAATACAAAGGAATTCACAATTAATGGTTTCATTGTGTGTGAAATAAATGTCTTTTCCTTTGTTTTTTGACTTTCTGACTTGGTTCTGTTGTGGATTTATGAGCGTGCTTACCTCTTTCTTTCTTTTGTTTCTATGCTGCTTTGTAGTGAACGCACATGTTGTGCTGGGCTGTGTACCCTCAGAGCCTCTATCCCAACTCGCTCCTGAGCGTTCTCAGCGCCCGCTGCTCATTCCCACTGCCGGGCCTATTCCTCCGCCCAGCCCAGGGCCTCACCCCATGTGCCACCTGGCTCTGTCCCTGGGAGGCTCTCCGCATCTTTTGCCCAACTAAATTTAGTCTCTATCCTATTTTATAACGGCTCTGTTTCTTACTGTGTGTGTTGCTGTCTTGAAGAGCAAATCTACAAGACCTATATTGCTAGAACCATCAAATCAGTACAAACCCGGGGACAAAACAAGAGTTCTTCATACATCCATTCCCAAAGATTCTCACAGCTGCTAAGTTTCTGAAGAAGTCAACACCACACACACACACACACACACACACACACACACACACACACACAGTCTACAATCACAGGGAAATCCCATATAATGAAAAGGAAAGAAAAGCCTTTCATTGGCTGGATATGAGTTAGAATAGGAAGGACTGGTGTTTTAGTTCTAGAGATAGTAAAGCAACATTAAGAGACGAATGACATTAATTGAGCAACTTGTCAATGCCGGGCACGTTTCACATCTCATTTAATTCTCAAACTCATCTCCAGAGATGGTATTACTTATTTCTATTTCACAATGATGGAATTGAGGTGGAAAGAATTTTTTAAAGTCATTCCTCAAGTCACCACACAAATGCTACATGACAGTGATTTCTGATTATTTCTAACTGCATCACTTTGTATAGTGTCCAGCAAAGCTGTGATGTGTGGAGGGATAATGGAGAGAGAGAGAGAGAGAGAGAGAGAGAGAGAGAGAGAGAGAGAGAGAGAAGAATATGGTTTCTAATCCTGGTTTTGCAACAAAAGACATGAGGATCAAATGACAATTTGTGAACACAAAATGAATAAATCATCTGCTACCTATCATCCTAATATCTACACTAATTATTCCACTAACACCAACCATAGCAGTACTGGACTAGGAATAAGTTCCTGGTGCTAGGACTTAGGGAAAATCATTTATTTCTTTTAAACTTAGATTTGTCTCTTCTTAGTTAATAAGGGCAAATAACCTCTTACTATTATCTCTTCATATATACAGAGAGTTGAGCTGTTAATATGAGCAAAACATGTTGAAAATACAAACAGCATTTCTATTTCTGAAGGACGAGTGACTAGTTGTTAGTATAATAGGGCCAGCCTAGTAAGTCCATATTGCTCCAAATCAATTCAGCCTACATCATTATCAAGTCCAAATCTTCAATGCTTTTGAGAGCAGACCCTATCACATATTTTTTTGAGTGTATCCCAAATCAACTTAACAAAGTGCAGGGTAGGGTAATGGATGCTTACCACACATTTTTAGGTGAAGGAGTGTATGATTAAGTCAAACCATTGCTCAGTACCTATTTGAGCTGTCAGTTAGAGACCCAAATTTATCATAGTATCAAAATAATTCTTAAATGCCAGGACACAATTCGCCCAAATTACTTTATGAAGTAGACAGTCATAACACTTGTTTATGGTATTATCCAATTAGCATTATTTATTATGTCCATTATTTTAACAGAAAAATAGCCAAATCTTTTTATTATAACATTTAAGGAAATGCTTTACTTAGACTCCATTGCTTGCCTTTCAGAGAACCGCAGGAAATGTTGGTGGAATATATATATATATATATATATATATATATATATATATATATATGAAAATGTCATATCAGTGCCTAAACTGTCACTTCCCATACTTTCATTAAATAACAATAGCTGCTCCATGTTGAGCATTTACTATGTAATACTGGACTCTGAACTTCACACACACACACACACACATACACACACACACACACACACACTGTGTCCTTAATTTTAATAAGGACCCTATGAAGTTGGGTCTGTTATTGTTCCCACTTTCTAAGTGAGGAAATAGGCTCAGAAGGCAAGAATAAATTGTCCAAGTCACAACCTGTCCATGTTGGCAGCACAGCCCAAACCGGACCCACACAGATGGGCCCTCAAAGGCTATCCTTCACCAGGCTCCTACTCACCAGCCAGGCGCACAGTCACTTCTGAGAAAACCAGCTTTCACCGGCCACCGCCCTCCCTTATGCTCATTATCCTTGGCTTATAAAAGAAGGGAAGGGAGGGAGGGAAAAAGAAGGGAGAGGGGAAAGAGGGAGGCGAAAAGGGAAAGAAAAGGGGGGAAGGTCAGAGGTCAGTAATGTCTCCCACCGCTGCTGGATAACCCCGGGATAAACTGGCACCCATTCAACTAGTCAGTGTTGCTGAATAATAAGTATGTGACCGTCCCCGTGGGGTCTGACTTGATATCATTTTGCCTTTGTTTTGCATTTGCCAGGAGAAGTGTTCCTGCAGATTAAAGGGCCGCTGGAAGACACTTACAAAATCTACTGCTATCACCACGACACAGCGCACGGTGTCCTCGAGTCCTATGAGAAGGAGGAGGAGCTGAAGCAACAATTGAGCCTCTGCGTCCAGTCCTTACAGTAAGGCCTTTTCCAATGCGGGTTCCTAGCAGGGGACATTTTAACTGGATGCAGATGAAAGAGCTCACGTGAACCCCGGGTTTCCTGGGACTGGCGGGAAGCTCTACTCCACGTTCTCTTTGTGAAAAGCTGGCATGCCAGAAACCCTGACTGACTTGTTTCCCCTGTGCAAAGATGACTAAAAATAACATAGGAGAAAATTCAGGCTCTGGGGAAATAGAATAATGCAACATCGAAAAGTGAAATGTCCCAGCCAGTGACTGTCAGTGGTTGAGCATTGACCCAGGAACCAAGAGATTGGGGTTCAATTCCGGGTCAGGGCACACGCTGGCGTTGCAGACTTGATCCCCAGAAGGGGGTGTGCAGGAGGCAGCCGATCCATGTTTGCTCTCATGTTGATATTTTTCTCTCTCCCTTTCTCTCTCTCTTAAAAAAAAAGTGACATGTGAAAGAAAAGTCCCTCCTTAGAGCTGTTGTTACTTGCCAGTTCCACATAGATGGAGGAATGTGTGAGACAACACGTGGCTCCGTGGCCCCTGGGGAACACAGGAGAATAAGTCAGTGGCATGCCCATGACTCTCTAGATGGCCTTCGTCTTCCCATGGAGGGGAGACTGGTGAACGCTGTTAAAGTGTTCAATCCTGTTAAAGTTTGTTTCTGGAAAATCAGTCATGCCTTCCTCCTCGTTCCTAAATTGTTAGTGGGAAGTGCCACATTATATATATTTATCTAGAAGAAATATACATGCACTATAAAAATCTGAAAAAAAAGAAAACATGGATGAGATAAAAACCCTTGCTATTCCACGAATTACCTCCTCACTAAACCATGTATTAATAACCACAGTTTGCATTTCCTTCTGATCTTATCTATAAGCATACATGAACACATGTGCTGAGGCTGATTCTTTTACATGAAATTGGTATTTTATTGTATAGGTAGTTTCCTGCCTCATGAAGCTTAAAGCCAAAATGTCTGCCCTAGCCCACATCGTGCTCAGTGGTTCTGTTGTGGTCTTTCATTTCTCAGGATTACTTCTTGTCAGGTGGTTTTGATTAAGCTGAGGATTAACCAAACAGAGAGAGCTATGGTGTATAAATCAATGCACACCAGCCAGTCTGCTGGTGCATCCCCTTATCACACACTATTGTAGAGGCCCAGATGGGGCTTCTGAGAGAGTACAAAAGGCTGGTAGCTGAATTAAAGTGAAATCAGGAGACCAAGTGAGACTACTGTAGAGAAAGTCTTTGCAGATGAGAACTGGGACAGAAAGTGGGTTTAAAAACTAACTTTATTGCCCTCTACTGGTCATTAAGTTATTACAGTTCTTTAACCATTTTCTGTCAGTGTTGTGGAAAAGAAAATATATTTAAGTCTCTAAATCTAAATTATTTACTTAGTGCTTGTGATGCACCAAGCATCATTTTGGGATGACTGCTGAAAATACAAAAATAAAGAAGTCTTAGACCCTGCCCATTAGGAGCTCAATATGATCAGGTAATTACTTTTTTTTTTTTTTTTTTTTTTTTAAATCTTCACCTGAGGATATTTTCTCATTGATTTTTAGAGAGTGGAAGGAAGAGGGAGATACAGAGAGAGAGCGAGAACATTGTTGAGAGACACATCAATTGGTTGCCTCCCAGGCCCCGACCAGGACTGGGGATCAGGCCTGCAACCAAGATACATGCCTTTGATGGGAATTGAACCCTGGACCTTTCAGTCCCTGGGCTGATGCTCTATCTATCCACTGAGCCAAATTGGCTAGGGCTGGTCAGGTAATTCTTAAAGATAATATGTAATGAGCAGCTCCAGTTCATTATTTCTCCACTATTTGAAAATTAGTTCAATGTTAGCAAATCAATTCACAGAAACCTTAAAGTTTGAAGTTGTATTTGCAGTAATAAATTAATATATTAAGAGAAAACTCTTCTAAATATAAAGATACATTTTTATTCCTTGGGAGAAATAATGGTGTTACCCTGGATGTGAATGAACACCTTTTCTATCTGATCCAATAAATGCCTATATGGAGCCATTACCCTTCCTCAGCTTTCAGAATGAAAGAGAGAAATCTTATGGTAGCCGAACAGCTAATGACCATCAGGCCAACTCCAACCCCAGGAATGGTGCTCCATACTGGGAGAGGATGCTATTTATTACTTTGGCAGGTGCTGTTAGCAGCTGCCCAGGGGTGGAGCTGTCTGCTCAGAGGGTATTATTCGTGAAGCTTTTGATTCCTAAGAGAAAGAGATCAACCCTGCCAGAATAGTCCACTAGGCGTAGAGCTCCATAGCAGACCCCTTAAAAACTAGCTAAAGCCAGAGGTTAATCTTCAAACTCCATAAAGCCTGGATTACTAAACATTACTTTCAGACCCCCAAATGGTTTATTTGATCTTTTTCTGAAAGCCCCAAGTTATTGCCCTGGTGATGTCCCAAATCTCATGTATTCAGCACCAGTCTGGTCTTAGAGAATAATTTCAAGCACTGGAAGGTGCTAAGGTTTAGAAAGCACAAAATCCAAAAAAATTAATACTGGCAGGGCTATTTTTTAAGGGAAAGAAAGTCAAAATAAAGTAGCTTAAGTTAGAGCTTCTTTTCCCCCAAAGTTGCCTTTCCATGAACATAAAGTTAATGATTAATTATACTGGCCTGCCTGAAGTTGGAGAGCAGGAGAACTATTGACATTACTATAAGACTGACCTCCATTGAGCTAGGCTTTAAATTCTGAGAAACAGGTTTTCAAACAGGTTTATAGGCCAGAGAGAGCCTGGAACACCCAAGGGCTTGGTTTTCCTCGTCAAGTAATCAGTCAAAGCTGTGACTGTGGCTGTGCCTTTTCCCTGTGGCTAAATAACAGAGCCCAGTGCCCAGTTGCCAATTTCTAATGAATATTAGGTGCGGCTTCCACTTCTACTGTGCAAGGGATATTAGAGTAAGTGGGTTTGAAACCATGTCCATGAAAAAAGTGGTTTCATGCTTCAGAAGTTAAAGTGGAATTTTAAGAAACTTAGGTTGCATTTTAACCAAAATTAAAATAAGTTTATTGAGGACTTACTAAGTATTTATTGAGACTGCTACATAATGTTGAGAAGTCACTTAAAAAAAATATATCCATACGCATAGGTAAACAAAACCATTGGAAAATTGAATGACAATGCCAGAGTTAATGTAAATAACACACCAGGAGCTGTCACTGGTGAGAGATTCAAGACTAATTTCCAGGAAGATGGTAGAGAGATTGCTTGGTTCTGTAACAGATGTGAGCTCAGAACCTTTGGCTATTCTCTGAAGCCCATTTTAAAAAAAAAAATGTTTTATTGATTTTTCACAGAGAGGAAGAGAGAGGGATAGAGAGTTAGAAACATCGATGAGAGAGAATCATCGATCAGCTGCCTCTTGCACACTCCCCACTGGGGATGTTCCACAACCAAGGTACATGCCCTTGCCCGGAATCATTCCGCAGGCCGACGCTCTATCCACTGAGCCAAACCGGTCCCGGCTCTCTCTCTCTCTGAAGCCTATTATCTTTATATATATATATATATATATATATATATATATATATATATATAAATATATTTTATTGATTTTGTACAGAGAGGAAGGGACAGAGATACAAAGTCAGAAACATCAATGAGAGAGAGTCATCGATCAGCTGCCTCTTGCACACCCCTATTGGGGATATGCCCGCAACCAACATACATGCCCTTGACCGGAATCGAACCCCGGACCCTTCAGTCCCCAAGCCAATGCTCTATCCATTGAGCTAAACCAGTTTCGGCTGAAGCCCATTATCTTTCAAAAGAGAAAATAACATTTGTATCCAGAAAATGGTATTGAGTCCCTTGGGAATGTTAGGGCAGTAATTTTTGGTGTGTGTGTTCCCCTGTGTCAGATTAACCAGGGATGTACACTAAACGTGCAGACTCCCGAACTCTGCTCCAGACCAAAACAACAACAATGATAATAATAAATGAGATGGCTGAGGGTCCGATTCAGGAATCGGCACATTAACCAGTGTTGTACTGAGATTCGGTGATTCCCAAGGACCATGATGGAGCCGAGTCCAATGCAATAAACAAAAGAGCCTCTTCCATGCTAGCATGGGCTCTGTCCCACTCATATTGCCAGCATGGCGGAAGAGAGACCGAACTTCGACAGGTCAAGGGGTTTTATTCGGGTGGTGATGGCACTGCTTTGGCTGACCCTGATTGGTTGGATGAGGGATAGGGTCCAGTTGGAGGATAGCTCCGCCCTGCCCTACAGAAAAAATGGAGTCAGGAGTTAGCCTAGCCCCCTGCACTCTCACCAGTACCCTCACATAGTGAAGACCTACTTAGAAGGAGAAATGGCCTCTGTTCTCTCTCACGGCTGCCCCAGAGGCACCTAGGCTTTTCCCATAACTATAGATGCAATCTAAGCAGTGATGGCAGGGTTCGGAGATTTTAAGGAAGAAAAGACTAAAACTAGCCAGAAGCACAGCACCACATCTGCATCTGAAGCACACAAATTGGAAACTTGCAAGTTTTTACTTATTCATCAAGGAGTGCTTACATAGTTGCATTAACACTGTATTAATGTAGTCTCTAAATTCATGGAAGTTATTTGTTAAAGATCTACTTACTCTGTCTCTTTGGGGCTATTTAAGGTTTCTCCTCTGTACAAGAAAAGTGAAAAATAGAATAGTTCTAAATGCCAGTGTAGCTATAATTAGCACAGCCTGTCTGCAGCCTCCTTTTTTCTGTTTTTCTTGTTGTAAATACTGCCAAATCCCTGCTGCCTTTCAGAGGCCCTAGAGATCAGTGTATTTTGCAATAATAATAATAATAATAATAAAGAATGAAGAGGTTTTTCCGAAATTTTTGGTAGCTGGAAGACACATTTCTAGCTTCACCTCTAGTTGTTATAAATGTATTTTCCTAAGTCCATCATCCATAGAAGGAAAACTTCTAACTTACAGTCATTTGGATGTTTTGGCTGATCATATTCCAGCAAAAACTTCTCCATTCAGGGGGGAAGTTAAAAGTTCACACAAGGCAAACTAAAAAGAAATAATGGTAGCTTTCAATTTGTATTTCTTAATATTATTCTAAGGGGATGTCCCACATAAAAATTAAAAGCACTTTTGGAAATTCCTTCATTGCCTTATTATGTGGCATTATGTTTGAACTAATGAAAAACTAATCTGTGAAAAATAGTCACATAAAAACTTCTATTAATTGTGAGTCAAATTATAATAAACCCATGAGGTAGGAGGTGTGGCAGTGGACATATTGAATTAGTTTATCCCATAAGGGAAAAACGATTTAACTTTCTCCTGAATTGTCCTTGGCTGGGTTAACTTCTAGGAAACTTTTCCTAAAAGAGAGATTTAGAAAGAGAGAGAGGGAGAGAGAGAGAGAGAGAAAGAGAGAGAGAGAATAAAAAGATGTGATAACGTAGAACCATTATGCCACTACACCAACAGGAAAAATGTGTTGAAGATCTCTGAGGTTCTTTTTCATAAAATGTTATACTTACATTAAACACAGCTTTTAACTTATGATATTTAAATTTTATTTGAAATAAATAAAATAGTAGAAAAATTTTCCATGTTGTCTCTAGGAGAGAAAAGAATAATATTTTCTGTCAAATTTAACGTATGTGTTTTGGTTCCCAAATTATCAACTTTGTCACTTGTTTGTTTCCATAAAAAAATGCATTTTTATTTTTAGTCAACTTCACTCCCAAATGTTCTGAAGTATGATCCACAGCACATATGGAAAAAAACAAAAAATCCTCATTAGAAAGGGAGATAAATTGGGGGGGAAATGTGAGCTTAAAGGCAGTAGTGAATGGAAGGGAACATTGGGCAAGGGGTAGTGAGGGTGCAATTCTTCATGGAAGTAAAAACATTCTTCAAACTTACTGAGTTCAGCATAGAGATTTATCACTGAATTTTCCTCCATCACTGATTATGAAAATACGATCTACAGTTATGGGATGGGCTTAAATGTGTTGTATATTGAAAACAATGAAATCAGTTCTATAAAACATTCACACAAATTACTTATTGCTTTATTTTATGTAATAAAATTTAAACAATTTTACAATGCTTGTATATTACCTCACATATTTACATAATTTTACTTTTTTTCTCTTTTCTTACAGGAACATATACATGCAAGAGTAAGTATTTTTATCTTAATAATAAAAATCAAATGTAAAAATCATGAGGAAAAGCTGTTAATATTTCTGTACAAATCAACACACACATGCACACTTTGGGAGATGCCCATTTTTATATAAGAAAAGCATGTTTAGAAAAGCATCCTAATACTGAAAGGATGATATTGACATACATACAAACTCAAATTTATAGGACTAGAAAAAACACATGCTTGGCTTAGTGTGGTCAGCAACTATGAAGGTCCTGAGTTCCTAGCCCCGCCCCCCCCTCTGTGTGTGTGTGTGTGTGTGTGTGTGTGTGTGTGTGTGTGTTTGTATGTGTGTGAATTCTACTCTGGAAACTTTACATTGATAAATACAAAATTTATGAAGTAAAAATTACATTAATTTAACCTGTAAATGCCTGTCATTCATGCTTTGGTGCAGAACAACCATGATAAAAGACAGAATTCCAGAGTGAGTGGATGAAGTGGGCATCAGGCATCACCCAGGAGACCTATGGGCAAGGCTTTATACCTCAGCCATGCTGGGAAGTTAGCTTTTGACATACCAAACAAGCACCCAGGTCTCTCACTTTATACGTTTTTTTAATCAAAGGAAAAAAAATTTTTTTGTTATAAACAGATATGAATAAGTTTGTTCAGTGAGTTCCCAAACCACTTGAATTTGAAGATGTGGGTAAGAGGACAGAGGAATTTTTGCTTTTTTTGTCTGTCCACACACCAGGGCCTTCCTGACTTCTCTCCATGACAGTTGATGAGGTTGGGAGCGGGTAGGGAATGGGATCTCATTATAAAGTCTGTGCCTCTGGCATCATGGTACTACCGTGTTTCCCCGAAAATAAGACATCCTCTGAAAATAAGACCTAGTGCATAGAAAGATAAGACATCCCCTGAAAATAAGACCTAGCGCAATTTTGGGAGAAAAAATTAATATAAGACACTGTCTTATTTTCGGGGAAACAGAGTAGGAGCGGAGAGTCACTGAGCTGGATGTGTACAGAATGTAATATGCTGCAAATTCTGCTTAGATTTCTTTTGCTAAAGCTTAGATGTTTATAAGCAAAAAAATAAATAAATAAAATGATAATAAATAAATAAATAAATAAAAATGAGAGAGAGAGAGAGAGAGAGAGAGAGAGAGAGAGAGAGAGAGAGAGAGAGAGAGAGAGAGAGAGAGAGAGAGACATTCAAAGGAGGACAGCGAGAGATTATTTTATTTTAATACAGCTCGCATGCATAGGCCGCTCCATACAGAAAACCTGTAACAAGCAGTACATTGTATTGAAACACTTGCTTAAAAAATTGCACTAGCTTTTGCGCCACTCCTGCAGCGTGGGCGTTACCAGGCTGTGTGTGGCCCCTCTGGCCTTTTCTGCGCATCAAGAACTGAAAAGAGCCCGCGTATTCACAGTGTGTGGCTGGACGAACATCAAAGCCATGTTTGCCCTGTCTTCCTTCTTGTTTCTCTCGCGGGGGTCAGGAGGCACACGAGCTGCAACATGAAAGGGTAAAAGGCCGCATTGAGTGCTGTGTAATTGTTCAGCTCCTGAGCGGCTGAGCCAGGAAGGTTGAAGCCCAGAGTGCACTTAGGAGGGGTGTTTTTTTTGTTTTGTTTGTTTTTGTTTTGTTTTGTTTTTAAATATATTTTTATTTCAGAGAGAAAGGGAGAGGGAGGGAGAGATAGAAATATCAAAGATGAGAGAGAATCATTGATCCGCTGCCTCCTGCATGTCTCCCCCGACCTCCCAAAAGATTGAGTCAGCAACCCAGGCATGTGTCCTGAGGGGGAATCAAATCAGGGCCTCCTGGCTCATAGGTCAATGCTCAACCACTGAGCCAAGCCCAGCAGGCAGGGCTGTTTTTTTTTTTTGTGTGTTTTTTTTAAAGGTTTAAAAACCATTCCCTTATAGAAAATCAAAATTTTCTCTGTGTGTGTGTGTGTGTGTTTGTGTGTGTTTTAATCTACATTTTAAAAAGTACAGAGAAAGGCAAAGATACTATAACTTCTAAAGTAATTACTTTGGATTATAATCTTATGTAAACATTAAAGAATCAAAGATTCTCCAACCAAAAAGTCACCCTCCCTAAAAAGCATCTGACACAGTCTCCTGTTATAAAGCAAGAAGAACATGCCTATTCTAAATCTCTTCTCAACGGCAGTGTTGGATTTTCATGTTTTTACACTTTTCTGTACGTGTTCTCCGTCTGGCCAGCTATTCCAGCCTTTGGATCTCAGGGTTTCTATTTCTCTCAGTATGTTGTAAGTTACTTTCTCTTTTCTTGAGCTTTATATTTTTACAGTTATTGAGGAAACACTGCAAAATACTGTAAATTAAAATGAGGACAGTAAAGACAATGGGTGGTCACATTCCACAGTTAACCATTGTAACATTGTTACAATGTGAATTTTCTGACTTTACTGCAATATTTTTCTCTACCTACACACCTATTAACTGAAATAGGACACCTATGTATATATTTTTGTACGTCAATTTGATACATCCCAGTCATTTTTCTAAGTAGTAAACATAAACCCACATCACTTTATGACTGCACAATATTCTACCTGATGTACAGACCACAACTTAGTTTACCAAATCCTTATAGATTCTTGAGTAGTGTATATCAGTCCTGTAAAGGTTGATGCTGTGTGTTCATTCTTACACATGATTTCTGTACAATAATTTGATTTTTTTCTTAGTATGAATTTCTAAAAGTGGGATTACTAGAATTACCAGAGAATTTCAGAAAAGTTGAACTAATTTACACTGAGTGACCAGATTATTATGATCTCTGAATGCATAATAATCTGGCCACTCAGTGTATATACTATATAATAAAAGGCTAATATGAAAATTGTCCCCTTGACAGGAGTTTGACCAGCAAGCAGGACAGCCAACTGTCCATGTTCCCTCCCCTTGGCCAGGCTGGCCGGACCCCACACATGCACAAATTCATGCATGCTATGGGTACATCCATGGGTAGATGATTAGCACAGAGTAGAAAATCAAGAAATATATACAGATCTGTATGAAAATATGTACACAGTAACTGTGAAATTCCTGATAGATTGATAATGGTTCTTTAATTAGTGAATGTATTAACTCCTTTTTGTCTTATGTGCTATAAATATTTTTCCAGTTTTTCATTTGACTTTTAACATAGTTTATGGCTTATTCTGTTTTGTTTTTATCTGTACAGTTTTATAGAGTATACTTTTAAAAGATTTAAAAAGATTTTGTGTCTTATTTTGAAACTCTAAGAATGTTTTCAAAGTGTAATTCTTTGATTTCTACAAATTATTGAATCCTTTCATTTTTAACATTTAAAATCTTTAATCTAGCTATAAATGGTTTTGGTGTAAAGAATTTTTATTTTTTTTTATTTTTCTATGTGGCTAGCTAATTATTACAACACCTGATATTAATTTTTACACTAAGCAGGAATTTCACAGTTACTGTGTACATATTTTCATACAGATCTGTATATATTTCTTTATTTTCTACTCTGTGCTAATCATCTACCCATGGATGTACCCATAGCAAACTGCTTTTGTCTTTGCAGCTTTATGTTTTAATACCAACTCAGCACTCTCATTTCAGAAATTTTTAGATAGTCCTGCATGTTTCTTTATTTAAAAAGTTTCTCTTTTGCCGAAACCGGTTTGGCTCAATGGATAGAGCGTCGGCTTGGGGACTGGAGGGTCCCGGGTTCGATTCCAGTCAAGGGCATGTACCTTGGTTGTGGGCATATCCCCAGTAGGGGGTATGCAAGAGGCAGCTGATCGATGACTCTCTCTCATCGGTGTTTCTAACTCTCTATCTCTCTCCCTTCCTCTCTGTAAAAAATCAATAAAATATTTTTTTTAAAAAGTTTCTCTTTTGTTAAAATTATATATATACCATGGTTTGAAAAGGCAGAATTTAAGAAAAAATTCTTGCTGTTGATGCTCTTCATGGGAACACACCTTTTAGTTGACTCTTTTGGAATTTATCCTCCTGACTTTGAAAACATGTTTGGTTTAATCTATTTGAGTATTATGTATTGACATTTCCCTGTAGAAGACAATAATTTATCTCTCTTTTCTACCCCATCTCCTCTACACACACATACACACACACACACACACACACACACACACACACACACACACATGCACACTGATAGGCACACATTCTTCCCACCTCTCCATTCTCTTATGTAGTTGCATTATATTTTGGAGGAGAGGAACAATCAGTGTTGGGATTATTATATCTGAGGATATCTGAGTAAGTTCTTTTCAGAGCTAAATCTTGGAATAAATGATTACTTGTCTTTTGAGTTAACTATTGTTTTTTACCTCTTAGTTTTCTTTCTGCTAATCATTAATGCCAAACTCACAGCCAGTCATATTTCAAGACACCCAAATGCATTCTGTGTACTATCACTTCACCTTCCTCAGGAAGCTTCTCCCAGGGCCTCTGGCCTGCTGGTTTGGACTAGTGACGCAACTGTCTTTCAGGAATTCCCCTCCCATCATCCTGGAAATTCTCTTTGCCTCTTTCCTGTTTTGTGGAGGATTTCCTACAATCATTTCTTCTATTCATCAAAGAATAAATGGGAAGTAAAATTTTGAGAACTTTTAGGTCCAAAATATCTTTATTGTATCTTCACTCTTAATTTATAGTTTGAATTCTAAAGTATTGAATTCTAAGCAATAGAGAATTCCAAATTGAATATCATTCATCTTCATATTTTAATGGTGATTTCTCATTGTTTTCTAATTTTCAGTGTTGCCATGAGAAATCTGAAGCTTGTTTGGATTCCTAATCATTTGTTTATACCTGTTTGTTTATATGTTTCTCTGAAGGATTAGGGGAACTTCTCTTTGTCCCCAAAACTCTGAAGTTTCATGAATCTCACGGTGTGAATCCATTTCATCCATTGTTTTGGATACTCAGTGAGGTCTTTTAACCTGCCAACTCATGTCCTTTTCTCAAGTTACTTCACGGGTTATTTCCTCCCCATATGAGCTCTACTCTCTTTTTCTCAGACTCTTATTATTTTGATATTGGCCCTCCTAAAACAGTCCTCAGATTTTCTGTATTTTCCTTTTATTCTCAATTCCTTTATATTTTTGTTTTTCTCTCTGAAAGTTCCTGAATATCCCCCCACTTCAACACTGTGAGTTTTTATTTCTGCTATTATCTTTTAATTTCCAAGAGGTCTTACTTATTCCTTCAGATGATCCCCTTTATTTGTATGGCACCCTAAAAAAAGGTAGTTTTTTAAATAGAGTTTAAACTAGTCCCTTCTTACCCTAATCCCCATCTCCTTCTCTTTCTACTACTATAGGTTCTCAGGGACTCTAATTAATGAATTTTCGGAAGAATAATTAAGTTATTACCTACCCATATTTCTGGTTCTCTGGTCTGCTATATCAATTTATCATTCATTCATCTTCTTTATATCTTCTAACATTTACTGATAGTTCTGTATTTTCACAGCTATTTTTAATTTATGGCAAATGTTATTTGGTTGTTATTAGTAGCAATATACAGTTTCCTCTAAAATTGACTTAATGTGTTTTAAAAGGAGAATACTGTACATTGAAAAATCAATCCTAATGTAGTTGGTTTGTGGCTACTGTAAATTAAATTTTAAATTTTGGATACTTATGGTCATAAAATAGAGGAAATTCAAACTAATATGATCAATAGTTACATGATTATTTTTCCTTTCTCTCATTTTCTCCCTCTAATTAAGAAATACCGATGTGCCTCAGTGTTGTTTCCCATCATTGTTTTTACATTGCTTAAATGTCATTTTTATTTTCATTGTGGAACTATTTTCTTGTATTTGATGTGAAGCTTTTTATAGCAAAACTGGATGTTGCTAAAAGAAAGCAAAGCCAGCTGTGTTTACTTGATTTTTGTCAAGTCCAATAATAATTTCCAATGAGATTAGTGTAGCTACTTATGGTTCCAAATACTTGCCAAAGTATTTATGATAAGAGGGAGGGAGATGAAACAGAATTACAAATTAGTAACCACCTTAGTTTTCAGCTCAATATATCTGGGGAGTTGTTACATTCAGCTACTTTCTGTGGGGGAGGTATGTGGCCATTGGCTGCTTGGCTGAGCTGGGTGGTGTCACATATGGGATGCACTGCCTCAAAGTTATCAGAGCTGTTTTATTGGGAGGGTTTAGATGGGTGAGCTTTGTGGCACCGAATGCCTGGAGTGTCATTATCATAACAATCTCCTGTTTTCTTACCCACTTTGCTTGTGTGATGAGGGTATCAGAACATCATTGCTCATCACTTGGGCAGCTGTCCAAAGTGCAAGTCTGAAGTCAGAAGAGGGCTCTTTGCTTTTGAAAGAGCCCTTTTTAATATTTGCATTTGTGATGCTTTTAAGAGAAACAATAATCATTTATCATTGTTATTATTGTCATTTGAAACATGAAAGGGAGAGAATAGAACTTGGATGCCAAAGAGTGATGGGAAAAGAAGTAGTGAAGGGCCTACTTTGGTTTTTAATAGATCTTCACAAAGAAGAAGGGAAGTGCAGAGAAACAAGGGTATGCTTTAATATATCTGGGGAATTTAAAAATAAAAAAATATATAATAATGGACCACACTGATAAACCATCTTATTAAAACTGAGTTTTCTTATTGAATTGTTGACTATATTTAAATTTTCATAGTATTTTCAGCAGATTAAATAAACTAATACTTGGTGATGGTTGAGAAACTTAGGAGAAATTCTGATCATATTCATATAGAGAATATGTTTTTTTTTCTAATTAATACCTTTTATATTTCTGACTTGTTCTTACTTAAGGGAATTGTCTACTTAAGTCTCTGCATTGTTGTATTGTTAAAGCATCTTTGCTTAAGAAATGTGATAAAATGTGTTCTTCATAGCAAAGGTTCAGCTATTGATACAGCATCAGTTAGGAAATATGTTTTTACCTATTATTTTTTTAGTATTCATAATATTTGTATTTTCTTTCATCTGCTTCACCTAGTTCTCTTGGAAACCAATAACATCTCTCTCTTCCTCTCTCCCTCATTTCTTTTTTACTATCCTGTCTCCTTACCTCATTTCCTTAATAGATTTGGTGCTAATGGGTAGAAAGTACAAGATAAGTAATATAAAGCAACCCTTTGCTCCTTTGAAAAGCTTTTTTATTTTGGTTTTCCTGAAACAAACAAACAAAAAAAAAACAACAAAAGCTACTTTTTGGCCTGCTTCAGTTTTTGTTTTTATCATGGTATCATCATTTGCTCAGCACTTGAACAAAATTCCTCAAAGTTCAATGTAAAATAAAAGCACATTACAAAAAAATCTGAGAAATCTGTCGCTTGGTCTACCAATATTCATTGAGAGAACACTATATGTATGTCATGCTGGAGATACACTGTGTCAGAGAAACTGAGCATAAACTACCAAATAGAGAAACAAGATGGAAGATTTGATAGTGACGTGTGTGTGTGTGTGTGTGTGTGTGTGTGTGTGTGTGTGCGTGCACATGCGCACAGGCACATTATGCACATACACATGACAATCAAAGTTCCTTAGTTTCTCATTATTCAAATGAAGAGTTCAATTAGATGGTATTTAAGGTGACTTCAGATCTTTTCTTAACAGGCAACTTTTCTCATTTTGTTCAGTGTTTTTTTTTTGTTGTTGTTTGTTTGTTTTTTGTTTTTGTTTTTTTAGATTATTTCATTATTGCAGTCATGTGGTCTATCATCTATCCATATTAGTACTTAAAAATAATAATTGAAGAATGGAAAATCCACCTATCAGTATTTGAAAACAGTGTCTGTATTTCTCTTCTAAATACAAACAAAAAGGAAAGCAAGCAAATACATCTGTTCACCAGAAGGGACTCAAAGTATGGTTTTCATCCATGTTTCATTTACAATGTCTTTTTATTTGACTCTTTGCACAGAGGTTTTTAGAAACTGCTACTTTCTGGCTGAAAAACGAATGACAGTGGCTTGGACGATGACATGACCAAGCTTGTAGGCAGGCATGAGGGCTCGCTTTTGCGTAGCCATTAGAAGATTTGCGGTCTAAGAACAAGTCCACACAGCCTGTCATTGTAGGACAGCGATGACTAGTGACAGTGATGCTATTAATAGTATTCAGAGAACTATTGCATTTCTTATAAATCTCCTTTGGGGACTGATAGACTCTCTGAAACAATATAAAGGCGACTTCTCAATTTGGTAGAAGGGAGAAGACAGTGCTTTCTTTTGACTATAGTTGGCAAGTCATCTGTTTAGATGTTAAAATAATGAGTTTATTTTCCTCACTAATCATCAGAAAAAATACCATTGGTAAAAGAATTTTTCTTGGTTGTCATGGAAAAATGCATCTGACATTGTTTGCTTCTCACTATTATCATAAAGCCTGTAATTAACAAAAACATGTAAATGGGACATGGGTGGAAATGATGCTTTGAATCCTTTTTGGTGGACAGATGTACTCAGCTTTTGTTTTGTTGCGTGGGTGGTGTTTTTTTTTTTTTTTTTTTTTAAGTTTTTGTTTCTTGGTAGGATCTTTCAGTCACCCACTTCTCTTGCTTTCACTTAGAAATTGTACATAGCCAAATGGATGGTGTGGGGGAGGAAAAACAGTTTCAGGATTAAACATTAAAAAAAAATCACAAACCTTAAAAGGAGATAATAAAACCAATGTCCACAAAACTGACATCACTTATCTCTGTTGTAGAGGCAAACCGAACCTAACTAACATGAGCTCCTTGTTGATCAAACCAATTCAGCGAGTGACGAAATACCCCCTCTTACTGTGCGAGCTTCGCAATTCCACCCCTCCCTCTCACCCGGACTTCAGAGCCCTGGAGGACGCCTTCGCTGCCGTGAAAGACATCAATGTGAACATCAATGAGCTTAAAAGACGGAAAGATTTGGGTAAGAAGACATATGATGAATTTGGTGCTCTCCTCCACTGGCGTGCTCTGTTTCTGTTTCTGAGAATCAGCATGTCAGCAGTTAGAGCAGTGGAGTGATCAGGAAGAGAGTGTGGTTTCACCTTGCCAGTGGGGTTCAGGAGAAGATCGTAAGGCACAAAAATGACAATTTTAAAAAATCAGCCTGGCTGGTGGGGTTCAGTGGTTGAGCTTCGACTTATGAACCATGAGGTCCCTGGTTTGAGTCCTGGCCAGAGCACATGCTTGAGTTGCAGGCTTGATCCCCAGTGGCGGGCATGCCGGGAGCAGCCAATCAATGATTCTCTCTCATCACTTCCTCTCTGAAATAAATAAAATAATATTTTTAAGAAATAAAACAGGCCTATACTTAACTTCTTGTGACCATTGCATGCCTGATGACATGTTGTGGGCTAGAGACACCCATAGCCTCTAGTCCTCTGTGTCTGGCAGTGTGTGTGGTGAGAAGGAGACCTGTCGCGGCCGGCTAGCTGGAGCGGTGAGAAGCTAGAGCCAACAATCGGAGGTGAAAGGTGCGGATCCAGGAGAGGGGCGCCAGCGAACACTTCAGCTCACCTGGTTCCGGCACCAAAGAAGGGAGATTTGGGGGCAATAATGGTTTCACTGAAGGAACAAGTGTATTTCTTTGTCACATCAACAAAGTATTGTTATCTCTTTGTTAGATGAGATGTAAAATCGGTGTCCATCATAGAATGTAGATTTCAAATCAGGAGGCACAATCACACTGTCCCTGTAATGCACTGAGATAGATCGTGGGTCCTCTCTCAGTGGGATTTGTTCCCATAAGTGTTCTATTTTATTTTATTTTATTTTATTTTTAGGCTTTGTACTTCTAACATCAAATCTCACTTCAACCTTAAAATAATGGTAGGACTTTGGAGCCAACTGGTCCAACCACTCCACTTATTTTTGTTATTTTATTTTCTAACTTTTTTAATTCAAAAAGTGGTATGTACTTGTATTAATAAATTATAAAGAAGGGCACTGAGTAAAAAGTGAAAGTTGCAGAGAAAAAGACACCATAAACACAATGAAAAGACAGCCTATAGCCACAGGATTATTATCTAGAATATATTATTATTGATATTGCATCAATAATAAAAAAGTTAACAAAAATAAGCATTTTACAGAAAGATCAATAAAATATTTTTGTGTGTATTTTGTTGTTGTTGTTGTTAATCCTCACCCAAGGATATTTTTTTCTGTTGATTTTTAGAGAGAGTGGGAGGAAGGAGGGGAGAGAGAGAGAAACATCGATATGAAAGAAATACATCTCACATCGATTAGTTGCCTCCTACATGAGCCCCCCACCAGATGGGATCAAACCTACAACTCAGGTATGTGTCCTTGACCTGTAATTGAATCTGTGGACTTTCAGTGTTCCAAGCTGACACTCCAACCACTGAGCAACACCGGCTAGGGCAGAAAGACCAATACATTTTTAAATGGTAAGCTTCACTAATAATCAGGGAAATGCAAATTAAAATCATGACATATTATTCCCAGCCTATAATACTGGCAAAAAGATTTTTAAGCCAGTTTAAATATATATATATATATATATATATATATATATATATATTGATTTTTTTTACAGAGAGTAAGGAAGGGGGATAGAGAGCCAGAAACATCCATGAGAGAGAAACACCGATCAGCTGCCTCCTGCACCCTCCACCAAGATACATGCCCTTAACCGGAATCGAACCTGGGACCCTTGAGTTCGCAGGCCAATGCTCTATCCACTGAGCCAAACCAGTTTCGGCGGCAAAAAGATTTTTAATGGATAATGTTAAGTGCTGAATTTCAGTCTGCAGGTGAGAATGTAAATTGGAATCACCACTTTGGAGGTCAATTTGATAATTTCTAGTGAAGTTGAAGATTCACACACCCAAGACCCAGAAAATCAATTTTTATATTTGAGAAACTCTTGCCCATAAGTAACTAGCATTGTTCATAATAGCAAATAAATAAAAAAAGAGAAGAAAATGGCTTACATATTTATTCAGATTATGGATAAACTGTGTATTATATACTGTGATATCAAGAGAACATAAAAATTATAAAAATTAATTGGGGAATATTCATCAATTGGATAAATTAAAAAATAGTATTTAAAAAATAGTGACAGAAGAATGTATGCAGTTTGGTAACACTTTAATAAAGATTGACATGCAAAAGAATACTATGAATTGTATGAATGTAAACACGCATAAAATGGATGCAGATATAATAAACTCATTCTTTTTAAAAAATATATATTTTTATTGATTTTAGAGAGAAAGGGAGAGGGAGAGAGAGAGAGAAACATCAATGATGAGAGAGAATCACAGATTAGCTGCCTCCTGCACACACCCCAATGGGGATCAAGCCCACAACTTGGGCATGTGCCCTTGACCAGAATCAAACCCAGGACCCTTCAGTCTGCAGGCCATCACTCTGTCCACTGAGCCAAACCAGCTAAGGCAATAAACCTATTCTTAAACATCACAATTGCTGCAGGGATTAAAAATGGGATTCAGAGAAATTTCACCTGTTATGTAATTTCTTTTTTAATGAAAAGATAGGAAACAAGTCAAAATTAAGATTTGACAAAGCTCGCTGACTGAGATAATAGCTGTTGTATTATTATTTTCATTATTGTGTTTGCTTAAAATATTTTAAAGTTTTAAAGAGAAAAGCTTTTCCTCTCCCATTATTCTAATTTGCATAGTTTTTAATCAAGTTTTCTTCAGACTTTCTGTCTTTTTTTCTATTCTCTTCTTACTCTCTCTCTCTCTCTCTCTCTTCTTACCTTCCTGCAACATGTATAATATCACAGTTTGCTGGGTTCTTAAAAAATGTACCGGTAATCATATGTCATGAACATTCTTCCAGTTAATGTGGCCTTCTTTTTAAAAAAATATATTTTATTGATTTTTTACAGAGAGGAAGAGAGAGGGATAGAGAGTTAGAAACATCGATCAACTACCTCTTGCACACCCCACACTGGGGATGTGCCCGCAACCAAGGTACATGCCCTTGACGGGAATCGAACCTGGGACCTTTCAGTCCACAGACCAACGCTCTATCCACTGAGTCAAACCAGTTTCAGCAACGTGGCCTTCTTTTTAATGTTTCCATAGTATTCCATTTATGAGCATGTCATAATTTATTAAACTATTCCTTTAGGTCCTAGATAAACTTTTAGATTGTTTCCAACATTTCACTATTAGAAAAAAATGCTGTAGCAAACCAAACTTTGTATGCTTATGAAAAGCATGATTATAGACTATGAATATTTTAATTTTTATAAGACTCTGCCAAATTGTTCTGTACTGAAACTATGTTAGTTTAATCCTCAGCAACATTATAGGAGATTGCCCATCTCTCCACACCCTTACAAAAAAGGAATTTTAGGAATACTTAACATTTGAACAGTATGAGAAGTAAAAATGATTTTAAAGATAAAAAAGTAAAACTCAGCCCGATCGGCATGGCTCATGGTTGAGTGTATACCTGTGAACCAGGAGGTCACAGTTCAATTCCCAGTCAGGGCACAAGCCCAGGTTGCAGGCTCAGTTCATGATGGGGGATGGGGAGGAGGGCTATGTAGGAGGCAGCCGCTCAATGATTCTCTCTCATAATTGGTGTTTCTATCTCTCTCTCTCCCTCTCCCTTCCTCCCCTTCCTCTCTGAATCAATAAAAACATATGTTAATTTTTTTTTTTTTTTAAGTAAAGCTCAGTTGGTTGGAGCATCAGCTACCAGTATAACAAATTGTTTCGAGTTCAATTCCCAGTCATGGTACATACCTAGGTTTCTGGTTCTACCCTGGGTCAGGGTTCATACAGGAGGCAACTGAACAATGTTTCTCTCTGTGTGTCTCTCCCTCTCCTCTCTCTCTCTCCTCTTTCTTTCTCTCTCTATCTTTCCTTTTCCTCTCTCTCTCACCTCTTCCTCTCACTCTAAAATTGTCAATACAATAAAAAAGGAAAGCTCAGAGAGGTGACTCAATTTACCCCAAAAGTGTCTGCTAGTAGAAAGCCACTCTAGTGCCTGAGGATTCCTTGGGTTGGCTGTCTTTTCATTAGTGAGGTCCTGATGCTTCATTCTGGAGACCCCAGAGGGTAAATGTATTATCTGAGAAGACAGGACAAGCTTTATTTCAGTAACTGGGTACTTTTAATGTGGGAGGTAAGTGCACCTGGGACTTCTGAGGCTCACACCCTCAGACAGCAGTTTTGAAGGATGTGGAGGTGGAGTTACGATTGGGCAGTGGGGCTGGAGCGTATAGCATCTGCCACAGAGAGCCAACCATCATGTGGATTTTTATCTTATATGTAAATGTCGATCTTGAATGCTTGGGTGAAACATGCTTTCTATGCTGCATGGCCACAGATATGTCTCTGCATTCTTTTGTTTTAGTTCTAAAATACAAGAAGAATGATGAGGAGGAATCACTTAAAGATAAGTTGTCGAAACTAAGTATTCATTCAATTAGCAAGAAATCAAAGAGAGTGACAAATTATCTCAAGATTCTGACCAGAGGAGAATCACAGGTAATTTTTCTTCACATACCTTTTCCTGGGAACATGAGCACGGGTATTTTTGTGAGGTTTTGTCTTGTTGGTACACAGCTGTTTCTAGAACACTGAGAATCAAGATAATTGCCCAAGGTTGTTATGCTGTTCCTCTCTCTCTCTCTCTCTCTCTCTCTCTCTCTCTCTCTCTCTCTCTCTCTCTTCTCTCTCTCTCTCTCTCTCTCTCTCTCTCTCTCAATGGAGTGAGGGTGGGTTTGACACTATCCTACTGTGGTACTTTCACTCAGAAGCAGGCAATGCAGAAATAAGGACATACAGACAGAGCTCAGCCAGGGCTGCCCAGGAGTCCTGACCCTCTCCATTATCCCGCACATGATCTCACCCAAGGCAATGCCCTCCTTTCATCCTGTCTTGTTTCTGCTTTTTTAAAATCTCACTTGCCTCTAGGGCTCCCTTGATATTCATTTTCTCTTCATTTCACCTGGAGCAAACAGTGCTCAGGTGCACACGTTAGTGCCATATTTCCCTGCCGTTTGTCTCCTTCCTCTTGCCCTCCCCGCTCCCAGGTGCACATTCTATTGCTAGGCTATTGTTTTGTGTCAGCTGTTTAGCCTGACTTGCACCTTGTTCACCTCGACCCCTAATACCTAGAGATGAAGTAGCAAAGGCTCTCAAACACTGATGTGCACAGAATGAGCGGGGGAGCTTGCTCCAAGATTCCGGGGCTCCACCTGGTTCAAGGGTCCACCCGGGAAGTCTGTGTTTTTACAGAGACTCCAAGTGTTTTGAAGGGAAATAACCCTGAAGTGTGTGGTCCATGGGACACATTTCAAGATTCGCAAGATAGTAAGTTCACGGCCTGGAGGTGGTAATACAGTGGGTGGACTTCTAACAAAAAGTGGGCAGGAATGTTCTTTAGATACTATATAGTACTTTTTATTTTCCTTCTCATTTGCATGACTTCATCTCTTATTATGTTAACCTCTCTAACTAAAGGTTTTAATTTTAATGAGAGGCCAGCGGATGGTGGCTCAGCATTGGTTTTAGGTGGCTTCTCTTATCTGACCCGCTCGCTAGCTGCTGTGTTCTTTTTTCCGTTTTCCATGGTCTCAGTAGCTCTCCAACCACTGAGCTAGAAGTGGTCTCTTCCTCTTCTGAAAACCTGACTAACACACTGAGTGGATCCCGGTTGCAGCCCTGTTCATATAACAGTAGGTAGACAGGGCAGGAATTAAAAGCAAAATCTTTGAAATCGTCCATACCTCGGTTTGAACTTTACTTCTGTTATCTAATATTTGTCTTTGGGCAAATAACTGAAATTCAGTGTAACCATCTGTAAATTGGGGAATTATACTAAGACCTCACACAAAGAGTGGTTGTGAGGATTAAGTGAAATGATGCATAGAAAGGAACTGCCTAATGCAGTGGGGAAGCCCTGAGTAAATACTGGCATCATCATCATCACCACCAACATCATCATTTTATATTATTATTTGTTATAAAATACAATATCATGTGTTGTTATTTACCTTTTTCAATGCTCAGACTTCTCACTTGCCTCACAGATATAAAGCCCTATCTGCATAGTGTATTAATCAGGTCTTTTACTTCCTATATTTTTTGATGCTTTGATATCTTTAAGAAGCTTGCTAGCAGAGGAGCAAGTCCCACCCAGGACTCGCCTGTTTTTAGAGATGGCCGAGGGCTCCAGGGGGATCACTTCTTTCCTTCGCAAACCAACCAATCCAGGCTCCATAGCCTCCACCACCTCCCTATCCCACTCACACACCAATATTCCTCTGCCCTGACACCAGGGCCAGGTACAAAGCAATCAGAGACAACCTGGATAGCCTCAAGCCGAGGGCAGTTATTCAAACTGCTTACTCTGCCCAGTGTGTCCTTCGGGTTTCCCCACAAAAGCTCCAGTAAAGACTCTGGCTTAGACTCTCTCTTTGCTTCTTCCTGCCACCTAACTAGTAAAGACTCTGGCTTAGACTCTCTCTTTGCTTCTTCCTGCCACCTAACCTGTGTGGCTGGGTGACCCCTTCTCAAGGACTGGCAAGTAAATGACTGTGTCCGAGCGCCTTGTTCTTATCTCCTCCTCCGGCTCTGATGACTTTCCCATACCGTATCCAATATGGACTTTCTGGGGACACATGGCTCATTCATCCTTCTGCTTACATCTTCATGTTCTCACTGGGTCCATCGCATACAGGAGGTAACTCCAGGCCCCTCCTCTCGATGTGGAGCTGTAATATGGGATGTTTGGGACATTTATGGTGTGTGGTCACAGATCAGGAAATGGAAAATTAAGACATTGCCACCTTGGCCAATTTGGCTCAGTGGATAGAACATCAGCTCATGAACTGGAGGGTCTCGGGTTTGATTCCAATCAAGGGCACGTTCCATGATTGCAAGTCTGATCCCCAGCCCCCAGATCGGGTGTGTGTGGGAGGCAACCAACTGATGTGTCTGTCTCATATTGATGATTTATTCTCTCTCTCTCTCTCTCTCTCTCTCTCTCTCTCTCTCTCTCTCCTTATCTCTTCCTTCTTCCTTCCATTCTCTCTTAAAAAAAATAAAAATGGAAAAATGTCCTTGGGTGAATATTTTAAAAAAAGACATTGCCACTAAAAACAACAGCAATAAAATTGAACTGAGCTGGGAATTCATGTGAGAAGAGATGGTAGCCTCCATAGGCATGTGGAAATATGCAACCCTCCCCTACCCTTTGACATGTTGCTTCTGATATAAGACAATTCCACTGAGGAACAATTGGCCCAGCTTCATTCCGGGCAGGCTTTTGTAGAAGCTGTTATATTCCTTAACATATTTATCATCAGCTTCTGATAGTTTTCAATCATGAGCTAAACGTGCTTTGTCATGAAAGTGGCCTGGAGGGATATTAATTAGATTTTCCCCTTAATCTTTTGAGAGGATGTCCTGTCAGCAATGAAGCATTTTACTGTTAATCAGAAAATCAGCTGCATGGGCTGGACTGAGGAAGAGATAAATCTCAAATCAGCCCATTTTGCACTTGTCAGCAGCTCAGGGGAAATATTTGGCAGAGTTAGGATATAAAACTATTACCCAAGAGGAAGATTCTATTCAATTCATTACACATGTATTGAAATCTTAGGTGCCAGGCTCTGTATGAGAGACTGGGAATACAAAGAGGTTCTGATCTCAGACCACTTAGCTTTGAATCCTGGTTCTACCATTAACATTGCAAGCTTTTTAAACTCCCTGTGTTAGCGTAAAGACCACGCTTCTGTCACCAAGAGATTCCAAAACATAAGCTCCAGCAAGCCCGTGATTTATGTTTCCCTCTTGTAACAGTCCTGAGTGAGGGTCCTTATGGGCTCTTTTGCCTGAGATGCTTCAGAACCCAGTTCTCCCCAATGGTGTGCATTGCTGTCTCCTAAACATTTTGTCTTCATCTTCTTGGTTGAAGCTGGGATACAGCCAGGTCTTCATTCAAGCCCCAAGGATAATGTTCTAAGATCAAGATTCAGAAATGAGACACATCATTTTCACTCATGTCCTATATATGAAAATCCAGTTCCAAGGTCAGAGCCAGTTGCGAGGGAATCTGGGAATCTGGGGGTGGGAGATAGGCACTGGCGGGGCAGCCAGGTGTGTACCTTTAACTAGAGGTGCCGATTCCATCAATAAGTGGATGACAGGGAAAATGTCAATCATCTCTGCCATTCTTCCGGAAACCTGTTTCTTTTCCAAAATGGGAGTAATCACGGCACCTGCCCATAGAATTAAAACAAACAAATGGATGACAGGGTCTAGCACAGTGTCTGGAACATAGTGATTAATAAATGTTAGCTGTTATTATTATTAAGGCAAAAAAAATACCTGCGATGCTTCACTGGAGAGAATAGCTTAAATGATTGCCTAGTTTTGTGAGAGAAAAAACGAGGGAGTAGTTCATTTTCTCAGTGGAGAGCATGGAAATGATAGGGAGCATTTGTAGAAGGGTGACAACTAAATTTTTAACAAACAGAATTTTTCTAGCACAAAAGAGATAGTAGCATGTTCCAGCAAAACAAAGCAGCCTGTTGTGACTACAGAGAAGGAGAAATGGGCCATATTTCTCATAGTGTGATCCTTGAGCCTCTTATTTCATAAACCATCTGGGCACCAGCCAAGATATACTGAACAAACTAGCTGGGGATGAGTTTTTTAAAACTGCATTTTAAAAACAATCTACCACCGCCTATTATACGCATTGAATTGGGGTAGAGTATAGAAATCTTAAGGCAAAGAGTTAAGTTTTGTGTGGATTACAAAGAGCTATGCCGCCCATTTAAGCAAAAGTCTTTTTAGGTGAGCATTATTAAGGTGGTTAAAAATAAAAATGTCATCATTTTTAATGTATTCCGTTCTAAGGTCAATAATTTTAAATGAACAAATGTATGAACCGATTTAGCCAGTCCCACACTGAAGCATACACACCACAGACTATGAAACATTTGCTGTTCACACAGATTTGCCAACAAGAGGCTGGTTCTAGCCAATTGATTGCCAAGAAACTCTTCTCACCATTAAGAACAGTAATAAGTGTGCATTCCTAGAAACTGTTACAAGTATATAAAAAACATATTTTTTTCCTGATTTAACATATAAGATAACAAAAAATTACTGGATACATGTGACCAATGCCTTAACTGCTGAGTTTTCTTAGAAGAGGGCTAGTTTTGCTAAGATTATATATCATCTTTCAAATCTGAGTTGATAAAGAACTATCACATTTCTTAGCCAAGAACCTAAGAATATTTTCTAAATGACCACCATAAAATAAATTGGAATGTATCATACATAACAGCAAAACAAGAAATTCCAGGCAGTAGACCGAATTATTTTTATTATGTTATAAGCTCACAAATATAATTTAAGGGCACATACATAATACATTAACAGCAGCAGAGAAACATTTGACTTCCCACCGCTGCTGTGACATAGGTGAAGCTGTGAGAGATGCTTCCTGTGTCACAGCAGCAGTAGCAGGTCAAGTGAAAACTGAACGGCAAGAGAAGCTGTGCCCTGTGGCTTTGCTGCACATCAGCTGTGCCGTGTGCCAGTCTGCAGAGAGAGCTGTGTTAGAGGCAGTCAGCAGCTTACCAGAGGTTTTCCTCTGGAGTTTCCTGTAATGTGCTGGCCAATACGGCATGTGATATTTTTCTATAAACACCAGATTCATTTGAGTTATAAAAAATAATCTCCTCTATATTTTAGGTGAAAGACAGCACATTTAATAGAGAAGAAAAGCTATTTAGATCTTTAGAAAAGACCGCGAGGCACTGTGTGAAGAACATTTCCTTCTGCCTTCAACACATTCAGGTAAGGGAGACTCAACTCTTCCATGATTCTACCACCAGATACCGATGTCTGTGTTGATTCTGAAGAGTAAATCCACTGTGCAGTCATTATACGATGACACCTACTGTATCCATTTTGGGGTGTGGCAAAGTGCTGGTGAAGGAAGCCAGTATAAAGGCTGTGGCTTTGTTCTTTGTTCCCTTACCTGCCCAATCTTTCCCCCATCCATCTTGCCAGATTGTGGGACATTTGCTCACCTGATGGCCACATGGTGCTGGTCAGCAACAGGCTTTCTTTACCCTGAAGATGAGCTCACTAATGCAACATTTTGGACAAGGCACCAATGTTCTTTGTTTATGTTGTTAGACTAAATAAACTCCTGATTGGCCTTTCTACCGAATGTAACTAGACTGTATTCTAGTTGGTTTAAGTCTGATTTTCAACAAGGGCATGCAAACCTAGGAGAGGACTGGAGACACATATTTACAAATTTAAGAGTAGAAGTGAAAGAAAACCAAAGAGGCACATAAAATGAAATTAGAAGAGAAGGTTTAAAGTAAAAAGTGCATAACAGAAAGGCCATTTCAAAAACCCACAAAACTCACAGGTGGGTCTCACATTTAGCGGTTGCTACCCAGCAGCTGACCCTCCAAAAAGGCATGTGATCACACATTCCTAAAACAAACTGAGTGCCTGTATATATTTCACATCCAGGCTTTCGCAATGCGCCCTTTACAGCTCTGAAAGAAATTCAACCTTCGGTAGGTAGTCATACATAAAAGAAAATCAATACGAGTGAAAATAAATTCTAACAAAATAACTCAAATTAAAATATGCAAATACTCCTGCACAACCGTAGTAAAAGACAAAAATACCTCCGCAGATTTCCAGTCCCCTATGAGGTTGTGGTGCCCTTGTTGAGAATCAGACTTAAACAAACCAGTTGGAGAACAGGATAATTATATCCAGTAGGAAGACCAGGCCGGAGTTTGTTCTGATGGATCTCATAAAGAAGACAGTGTCCTTAACAGCATCCTGACCAGGGGCATGACGATGAAACAGAGAGAGTTAGAATTACATGTATATCAGTTCAATGGTCCCCTTCCCATTTTCCAGTTTTTAGAGGCAGATGAACACTTAGGTAAGTTATCACAACAGAGGATTCTCAGACACAATGATTTGGTGACAAGGTTCTATGCTATGTAAGCAGCAAGCCACAGTTTTTCCTTATTTATTGACTGATGCAAAGCCTGATTTTACAATTAGGTTTGCTCATCTTTTAAAAAATATATATTTTATTGATTTTTTTATAGAGAGGAATAGAGAGTTAGAAACATCGATGAGAGAGAAACATCAATCAGCTGCCTCTTGCACACCTCCCACTGAGCATGTGCCCACAACTAGTGCACATGCCCTTGACCAGAATCGAAACTGGGACCCCTCAGTCCTCAGGCCTACGCTTTATCCGCCGAGCCAAACCGGTTTCGGCAAGGTTTGCTCATCTTTTCCTAAAGCGCTGCCATTTGGGAAAATGAAACCCAAACCTTAGTTGTAAAAGGGCAGTGGGAACCCTGCCCCTTGATATAGGAGTAAATGCCTTTTGGGAACAGAGGAAAGTCTTCTGTTTCCACTAATTGATTCAACAGAAATGTGAACATCTTCACTTAACGAGAGCATTACATTCACTAAGGAAAACGGAAGACACATATAAAAGAAGTGATTTTTAAAATAAGGGATCTATAAGAATTGAATGAAGAATTGCCAGTGAGAGAATTTAAGATGGATTCTTGCCCTAGCCGGTTTTTCTCAATGGATAGAGCATCAGCCCACAGACCAAAGAGTCCTGAATTTAATCCCAGTCAAGAACATGTATCTTGGTTGCAGGTTCCATTCCCATCCCGGGTTGGGGGTCATGCAGGAGGCATCCATTCAATGTGTCTCTTTCTCTCCTCCTCCCCTCCCACAATCTTTAATAATCGATGGAAAAATTTCCTCAGGTGAGAATTAACATAAACAACAAGAACAACAACAAATAGATGGACTCTTAATAAAAGAGGGTATCATCAAGAGCAGTAAGAGAAAGTAAGAGAGGAGGAAGTGAGGAAATAGTTTGCTACAGGTAACCTCCTTGTACGAAGTATTCAGGATGAATTCTTTTTCTATTTTTTCCTTCTTACCTCTCGGTGGGAATGGAGGGCGATGCTGATGAAGTGCCCATTTGGGATGAGTGTCGTTGTACTAACGGTGGAACTTTGCCCTCTGTGTGCCTTTGCTCTGGGTTCCAGGATGCCATGCACTTTGCCCTGCAGAGTGTGCTGCAGCTCCAGGAGATTTCATGCACCAAGGATGAGGAAGAGGGGGTGCAGCCAGAGGCCCCAGGGAATGCCCCATATCCCTGTGATGACTTTGTAAGTTATTTATCTTCATAGGTAAATGCAATTAATAGTAAGATTAACAGAGAAGCTGATTTTCACTTATTTTTTTTCTGGTTAAAAATAAAACATGCACTAAAGCAAATACTAATGTCAAAATTAGATCTTAAATAGGATATTTTTTTATTATTAAATATTTTAAAATGGATTAGAATAGATTTCACTATAACCAAAATTTAAGAGGGTCCCAGTCTATGTTTCTAGGGGTAGTAAGTGTCTGAGCAACTAAAATCAACATTTAGTTTAAGAGTGCATGTGATACAGAAAGGATTTATGAAGTTAGAAAGCTGAGATTTTCTTAGAATCCTTACGCAGATGGGCGTGAAGACAATCTCTGAAAATGTGACTTTTATTAACCTACTGTAGGCTCAAAAGTAAAGCCTTCCTATTGAGAAAGGGCTTTTACATAAGAGTCATATATCATGTCTCCTGTAAATATCTGTTTTCTAAGAGTTCGGTAAAATATACAGAATCATAAAACAGAGTTTGGTAATCATAAAGAGATACTTGAGCCAATAAAATATTTGGGTGGTAAACTAGTCTAAATAATACTAATTTTCACTTAGCATCTTGTGTTCCATAGATATTGTTATTTCATAACAGTATTTCAAGTATTATATATAAAATACAATAGCCTCCGTTATCATCTTGAAGGTCTGTGAAGGTGACATTATTGTGCTGGCATGACTAGCATTTGGGGTCAGACAAATCTTCATTGAGTAGCCCTTGTGTTGGAGGGTGTTTAGCATTCCTGGTCTACCAGCTTCTAAATCTCCATAATATCCCTCCTTCTCAAGTCCTGACATCCAATGAACAGCCCCACATACTTTCCGAGTCCTGGGAAGTGATACAGCCTCCACAACAGTAGAAAAACACTGAGAAGCACCTTGCTTTCCTAGCACAGGAAAATGGAAAGTCAGGATTACACCTGAACTAAGATGCTAGGTTAGGTAAATGAGAGAGGGAGGAGGGCGAGAAGTTTTTATGGCATGTTAAATGGAAAGAGTGTGGCTAGTTCATATACATTATCTAGGCTTAATTAGAGAGAGCATATTTTAGAAAAGTTCTTAAGGATTTGCTCTTTAGTTTAATTCCAATTCATTAACTAAGTCAATAAATATTTATTGAGCACTATGTAAAAACATGGCATATAGCTTCTCCCTCATTAACAATGCTCCAGAGACTGCCACGCTCCCATCACCGGGCTCTGCTCTGCTCAGGTCCCCACAGGACCCCGCATCCACCATGGCCTCCATTCAGCAGCTGGTAGGGAGGTGGTGCTTAGTGGAGAGCAAAGGCTCCCAGGAGTGCAGGAGGGAATTAGGCTGGGAACAGCGCTGGAAATGGGCGCCATGGCCATGCCAGACTGCATTCACTTCCGATGGCAAAAACCTCACCATCAAAACCAAGAGTACAGTGAAGATCACACAGTTCTCATGCAACCTGTGAAGAAACCACAGCTGAGGGGAGAAAAGCTCAGAGCGTCTGCAACTTTGTCAAGGCGCACTAGTCCAGCAACAGGAGTGAGCGGGGAAGGGAAGGAGAGCACGATACAGGAGGTGGGAAGGCGGGGAGTTAGTGGTGGAATGCGTCATGAACAATGTCAACTGTACTCGGATCTATGAGAAAGTGGAGTAAAAATGCCATCATCCTTCTGGATGGGAATTAGCCATGAGGATAAACAATCTCAGTTCAATGATCAAATATCTCTACGCTTTTTTCCCATTACTGTGTTCAGTTATCACAAACATTTTACATGGAACTACTTCTGAGTTGGTTTGATTAGGATTGACTCTTCCATTAGTAAATAAATGTGATTATGTCATATATATATATATATATATATATATATATATATATATATATTTGTACAAGGGGCTCTGTCCTCACAACCCTGGCTTCATTTGGAAGATAGTCAGGAAGGACATCCAGAAGGTCGTCCAGCTGTCTGGCTTAATTAGCATATTATGCTTTTATTATATACTAGAGGCCAGATGCACAAAGATTTGTGCAAGAACAGGCCTTACTTCCCCTGGCTACCAGCACCGCCCTCACTCTGGCCAGAGCTGCCTTTTCACTCTGACTCTGAGCCGCCTTTCCACCTTCCCATGCTGCCCAGAGGTCAGAGCAGCTGGGGCCATGCAGAATGCTTGCATTGTTGCCATGGTGACAACACAAATGTCCCACCCTACCCCCAGCACCTGCATATGCAAATTAACCCACCATCTTTGTTTGGTTAATTTGCATATTCGCTCCTGATTGGCTGGTGTGTGTTGTGAAGGCACAGTCAATTTGCATATTGTTCTTTTATTGGTGTAGATACATATATATACATACATGCTCCAGAATTCAACAAGATGATGAGATATTTCTACCTTGCATAACAACATACGAATGATAAATTAGGATAAATTAAAATAATTATCAGAAAACTCAACATGAAAGTAACTTTTTATTGGTAACATATATTTGAACTCGGTTTAAAAATCAAACATCTATCTGAAAGCACAGAAGTTTTTATCTAAATGTGATAGATACTTATCTACACATTTTTATAGGACAAAAATCTTAAAATAAAATCTGATTCTTATTTGTTCTGACTACAATTCCCATGCACAGTGAATTGGCTCATGTCACCTGGCATAAATATTGTAATTATAGTGCAGTATTGTAAGTACACTACCTATAGAGTCCATTCATGTCACAGACACAGCAATTTATTCCAGAACAGAAAACAGACTATTTGCTTAGCCAAAGGACTCATTTAACAGTCTGCAGGTGCATATGGATTATTTTATAAACTAGACATCAAATTTAATCTGGGTTGGCTATTGCTAGTGCCAATAAAGACGGGTTTCTCCTCTCTCCTAGATTTCCCATGAGTTCAGACAAAGTTACCAGAGGCCATCTAAGTTAATTAATAGCAGCTGCTGCTCAGTCTGATTCCCTAAGACATATTTTTGGGGTACAAAAGGAAGCCTGCTTCCAAACTGCCATAACATAATCACATAACCCAAACATGTCTGCTAAAGGTTGGTCAGCAAACCTAGGGGACAAGTGCCCTTCAGAATAGAAGGGTAGGAAAGAGATGCAGAGAGGAGAAATGAAACACAGAGTGCTCAGGGTCTGGCATGGGGTTCACATTAATATGAAGTTCATTTTCAATGCCGCAGACCTAAAAATGTAACAATTTAAAACGTAGAATCCGCATTGGCTTAATCCTTCAGTGTATTTAAAGAGGAAGCACTAGCTCTGGGGTGGTTTCTATCACGGGAGCAAAATACCTATAACAAGGGGGTACTATCTGAATGGGGATACAATTCCACTACCATCATTAGCTACCGGGGTCGCCAGGAAATCAGGGCAGATGTCTCTTCTAAGATGGACTCTCTTTCTTTTATTGCCAGCAAAATGACCGGTGAATCGTTTATTTAGTCTGGGCAATCACAGGCTGGAGGCCACCACTCCCTCCATGTGCTGGCAGGGGGATTAGAAAGAGAGGGCAGGGGAAAGTGTGGAAGGAGATGACTCCAACACCAGGAAAATGATTAGATCCTTCTTCAACTTGGCTGGATACCTTGCTGCCTCCCGGTGCCCCTGCAGGAAGGAAGGAAGCCCACGGATGGCAGCACTGGCTGCTCTGTGACTGGATTCTTTCCTCTCTCCGCAGGCAGCGCACCTTCAGAAGCTCGTCCTGACGCCCCTGTCAGCTCTGCTGTCCTTGTTCCCAGGGCCTCAGAAACTCATCCAGAAACGCTATGACAAGCTGCTGGACTACAACAGCTACCTGCAGCGGGCTGCGGGGGAGGAGTCAGACTTGGCCAAAAAGGAGTACGAGGCCCTCAACGCCCAGCTCGTGGAGGAGCTCCAGGTGTTCAACCAGGCCGCACGCAAGATCCTGCTCAACTGTCTGTGCAGCTTCATCACGCTCCTCCGGGACCTAACGGGGGTGAAACAGCAGCTGTACTCCGCGGCGGCGCCGGTGAGCACAGCGCCAGCACCTGGCCGCCTTGGTCTGGGCATCTGTTGGAGACAGGGTCCGTGCAAACAGCCCTGTCCATAACTTGCACCAGTGTGGTGTGGGTGAATGAGTGCAAGTGCGAATGAGTGCCTGTGGGGTTTCTTATAGGAAGATCTGGGAAAAGGGGAAGAGTTTCCTAGTTTGGGTTTGCTATGACTTAGACACTTGCAGTTTGTTTTGGAGATTCCTTTTCAAATGCCAACCCACCAGGTTCAGCTATTGCAGGTGACACCAAGGTCGCTCTGCCTGCCTCATGCTATGTTGTTGCTTCTCAATTCACATTTTGCCTTCCCTCCCCACCTTCCCATACAATAGTTTTTCAGTGTTAACCATGACTAAGATGAGGATAAAAAAGCAGCCCATCTCAATGGAATGACAGATGTAGGAGAATTGTCAAACCAGTCTTCATTTTGCTTTGCTCCAAAGAAGAGAAGACTGGTGTGTGTGTGTGCCTGTGTGTGTGTGTGTGTAAAAATATGTGTGTATATCTCATTTAGCCTTCCATTAGAATATGGTTTCATAATTATCTTCTGAAGAGAAAGAAAGATACTTGCATCTTAATATCAACTTTAGAAAATCAGCTTGGTTTCCTGGCCCTGATTTTCACTTGTATTAGTTCTCATTCAGCTGGTTAGGTATTTAATGGACATTTGGAGGAAAATTAATTGCTCCTACCTTATTTTTTTATTGGGTGACTAATTAACTTATCTTTTGAATTAAATTATATTGAATAATCAGCTGTTACACTTACATGGTTCAAAAGACAAAATTATGTAAAATATATAAGGTGCTGCACACCCACTCCTGTCCCCTAGCCATCCCATCTCCTGCTCCAACCCCATGATTATTAGTTTATCTTTATTCACTTGGGGCTCCTTTGAGTCATTAAAAGTACATTTGCATATATATATTGTTATTCCCTACACAAAACTAGAATGTCAAAGCACCCTTCTGCAATTTGCTTTAAAAAAAAATATGTGTTGTTGAAAGTATTACATATGTCTACTTTTTCTCCCGTTGACCTCTCCCCACCCACTCCCGCCCCTCATGCAACTTGCTTTTTAACATCCTAGGAGGCAGCCATGTCCACACACAGAGAGCTGCCTCATTCCTTTTTCAGGTTTATACCATAAAATAGTATAGGACCAGCCCCCTGTTTTGAGGGTAAAAACTTCAACAAGGTATCATTTACATACCATAAAGCCCATCTAATTAAAATATAGATTTTTTTTGGTATATTCACAGGAGTTGTGCAACCATCCCCACAGTCAATTTTAGAACATTGCCATCACACCCAAAAGAAGCTCTGAACCATTAGTGGTGACTCCACCTTTCCCCCAAAATCCCCAGCCCTAGGTGACCACCAATCTCCTTTCTGTATCGACAGAAATGGACTTTTGGTATAAGTAGAATTATACAACTTGTGCCTTGTTTCTTCATGACTGGCTCTTATACTCAGCATATTTTCAATGTCTATCCATATTTTACTGTGTTTCTGTACTTAATTTTATTTCCCCCAAATACTCCATAGTATGGATAAACCACATTTTATTTAACCATTTATCAGTTGAACATTTGGGTTATTTCCACTTTTGGGCTATTATGAGAAGTGCCCCTAATAAATTTCAAGATCCTCTTGTCACTCTTTTCGCTGATATTTCAACATGGTCTTTTGATGTAGTGGCGTAGTGCAGCTGGAGTTCTTTCATGGAGATCGAAGTCTCCCAAGAACGAGTGTCCCAGAGAACCCAGTAGACATTGTGTGGTCTTTTTAACCAAATCTTGGAAGTCAGACAGCATCTTTTCCATTGTTCTATTCATTTTCACATTCTACTCAAAGAGGTGATCATAAAGGACCACCTAGTTTGAGGGGAGGGGACATGGATTCCATTTCTTGGTGGGAAGCATGTCAAAAAATTTGCTAATTTGTTTTAAAACTGCATAGCCTCTTTCCTCTTCCCACTATCCCACCCAACACATTAAATGTGACTACTGCCATAGATTCCCAAGCCTTTTCCTCAAAACTTTATTGCTATTTTTCCTTCTGTTCTCCTTTTATTGGGCTTGAATCTTTTTTAAAAAAATTATCCCTATCATTTTAACGGGATTTATGGAGATGGAAAATTAGATCATTTTTCTTTCTAATTCTAATGACCTAATTTTTCACTGTTGAACTACCCTGTTCTTCACAACTCCACTAAACTCAGAACCTAACCTGGTATTTCAATGTCATGTTATTGAAATTGGAACAATGACTTGGAACAATGTATTATGTATTGTTGAAAGTATTACATATACTTTATGCCTACAGGTAACATTGTTGGTTTCAAACATATCTGAAATACAGAATAGAGTACTAGAAGAGGTTCAAAATCTGAACTTTATGAAGGATAACAGTGCCACATTTATTGAGAGAAAACTTAGTTTTGAAAAGAAGAAGCCTGTGCAAATTCTGGTGAGTTTGGAAATATTCATGCCAATGATGACTGTCACTTCTTTGCCTTGTTTAAACTATAATTTATCTTATTTTCCATATCACTTATCTCATTCTAATATCTTAATACACACTTATTTTATGCAAAATATTTTTGTCTCTTTTTTCCTCTACATTATGAACTCTAAGCGTATAGATTTTTATCTGTTTTGTACATGATGTATTTATTCCAAGCAACTAAAATGGTGTCTGACATAAGCTAGATACTTTATAAGTATCTGTTGAATAAATAATAGAAATTTATAGAGCTAAATTGTATAGTTCAAACCTTTCACTTTTTCTAGATAAGGAATCCCAGGCTGCAGAGATGAAGTGGCCTTTTCAAAGTCACTTATTGGCAGAGCTGGGATGGGACTAGGCCTCTTGACTCCTTCCTGCCTAGTTTACTGATGTTATTTCCCAGAAAAAAGACATACACATTCAAAATTTCTAAATTAAATATTTATCAAGTGCTTAATATACAAGAACATGTCTACAATATAACAAAGAAGTAAAAACGCGTTCAGCATAAGAGAGGGAATAGAACCACTGCCTTCTTATTGTCTTTGAGTTTTCTTTCTTTTCTACAACACTGCCCTCATGTGCTAACTAGAGATTTTTTCACTGTATAACTCAGCTGGATACTTCACAGTAATAGCCCAATCTATGCCCCAGCACTGAAATAATCCCAGATCCAAGTATGGCTTCAACATTTAAAAAAATCCCAGAGAAGAAGTATTTATCAACCCAGTGAGGATGTTAGAACACAGCTGTCTAACCCAAAATTTCTCCTTCCCTCTCCCAGCCAGAAGTGCCACGTCAAACTGACACTCACCGCTCCCAACTTCTGTCCACATACAGTACAGAGGAACTCTACCAAGCTAAGCGCAAATGCAATGCTACACAAGAACATGACATCAATCTTCTGGAAGGGGAGCTGGTGGCTGTGATGGAGCAGAAAGATCCACTGGGGAGTACGAGCAGGTGGCTGGTTGACACAGGAAGTAAGTGATTTGCTTATGATGCACGGAATCATCGCCTCTCTTCTGGTTGAGTCTTTCCCAGGGACCTCTGTGTGCTTCTCGAAACACAAATGTTTGGAAAGTGTATACGAATGATCTTGTTTCTTCTTTCTCTTTACTCCTGTCTAGTTGTTAAAGGATACGTGTATTCTTCTTTCCTAAAACCCTACAACCCGGCAAAAGTACAGAAGGCGGGTGCTGAGAACAGGTCCTGTGACGATGACTTTGATAACATCAGCCTCTTTGTGTCTTCACGGCCAACGAGGAACAGTGTCACAAGCACCCCAGAAGGGAGCATAAGTGACAGCAGCTCATCTCTTAGTGGTACATGTGGGAAATTTGAAACAAACAGCACTGATGTTGACAGTTTTCAAGAGGTAGATGAACAGGTAAGAATTTCAACCTTTATGTAATGATGCTTGGCTGTTCAAATCATGAAAGATGGTCTCGCTGATGACGCTGTTTCTTACTGTAAGACTTGGTGGAAGAGCATCAGCTTTGACATCAAGTCCTAATTCTATTAATGCTTACTCCCTGTACAGGTGTTTGCAAGGAATTAATTCTCTGGGTCTGTTTCCTCAAATGCAGGAGTAAGAACAGTAATTCTTATTTTGCAGAGTTGCTGTGAGGATTAGGGATGAGGGGGTATGTAAAGTGCCCGGCACAGAGTGACACTCAGTGAGTAGTGGTGCGGCCTTTACCTGCTGTGATGCACTTAGAGTGAAGATGGTCTTCTGATACTCACCCCATCAGAGGAAAACAGCTCACACTGAGCAGATTGTTGCCATCAGTAGCCAGTGGCAACGGTTCCTAAGTCTTCTGAGGGCAATATCTTCACTGAGTGATCTATGAATTGGCTGTCTTTAATCTGGTGAAACGACATATAAGATATAATGACATTTTTAAGAGCTACTTTTCCCTCAATGCATCAGTGCAAAGGCAATTGGGATGATTCCTCTGCAAAACGGTAAGTTAACTATAATGTAGAGTTCCTTTTTTCTACTTCAGAAAGTTTCAATATATTTAACTATTCATCCTCAAGTGGGGATCAACTACCCAATTACCCGGTTCTTTTTTTAAGTTGCTTTTTTCTTTAGTGGCTTTTTATTAATTAATTTTGTTTTTTATAAGGGTAATACATGGTATTCATGAAAAGTTTAAAAAGTAGAAAGATCCTATATAATAAAGAGGTATTGTGCAAATTGACTATCACTCCAACACACAACATGGCCACCCCCATGTGGTTAAAGATAGGTGTCTCCATTGGACACAAGATGGCCCTCACAAGATAGCTGGCAGGAGAGGGCAGTTGTGGGCAGTCAGGCCAGCAGGGGAAAGCAGTTGGGATGGACCAGGCCTGCAGGAGAGAGCAGTTAGGGGGAACCAGATCTGCAGGGGAGGGCAGTTGGGGGTTACCAGGCCAGCAAGAATTGGGCAGTTAGGGGCAATCAGGCCAACAGGGGAGCAGTTAGGTGTCAATTAGGCTGGCAGGGGAGTGATTAGGATATGATCAGACTGGCAGGCAGAAGTGATTAGGGGCAATCAGTCAGGCAGGCAGGCAGATGAATGGTTGGAAGCCAGCAGTCCTAGGTTGCGAGAGACATGTCTGACTGCCCGTTTAGGCCAGATCCCACTGGGATGGGCCTAAAAGGGCAGTTGGACATCACTCAAGGGGATCCCAGATTGGAGAGGGTGCAAGCCAGGCTGAGGGACACACACAAGCGCCTCCTCCCCTCTCCCCCTGACCCCCGCACAAATTTTGTGCACTGGGCCTCTAGTTGTATATATAATATATATGAATTCCTTTCCCAGTTATACTCTGATTCAGAAGCAATATTCAGATTATCTTTCAGACATTGTGCATATACAAACACATATTTATATTAGTGGGACCATGCATGTGTTAAATCATCTTTTTTCACTTAACAATTTATCTTAGGCAACGGTAACTAAATATCTACCTCCATTTTTAATAAAGTGATTTTTTTATAAAGTGATTGAAAAGTGGGAGTAAATTGTATCATCTTTATGAACAGTGAGAACACATTGTTATTGTAATGTGCATATTTGAGGTGTCCTACAAAGCAGTTTTTTCATGTGGCTATTTAGACTTTTGTTCTTGATTTTATTTTATTACCAGAAATATAAACCGAGACCTGTACTGCCTTAATTGGATGACCTTGGGGCCAGCATTTCTTTCCCTATCCTTTCCTACCAAGGCAGCAACACTTCCCTTTCTCTCTCCCAGAATTGCAACAGCACATTGTCAAGAGAGATTACCAGCTGGGATCTAGCCTTATCGCTGGTTGTAGTGAATCCTAGCAAGAAAGACAGATAGATGGTTGGCCTTGGCCTCTATTTGATATTCAGGGGATTCATTGGGGCCTAAAAATCAGTCAGAAACAGGCAAGTTCTGATTGACTTAAGACTTTATTGGAGGTGTGATTTTTACACAAAAGCCGTTTTTAACCTGGAAGAATTCAAAGAATAAAAGGGTTCTGTGAATGGGATTTGGGAGGTTTCATGAATCTCCTCAAATATGCTGCAAACTGGCTGCTTATGTGTATAACTGCGGCAAAAGAATGCCATATCTTTCATTGGATTTTCAAAGGGAAATTTGATTGCAAAAGGGTAGAAACCACTGCTCTGGAGACTTAATTAATATTTATCAATTCTTCCACCCAATCAAAAAATTGTTGGGTAAAGAGCTTTCTGCATTTTCTAGAATGGTTATAGTGAATCAGAAGTTTTAAGGCAGGATGAAAGTACAACTTGCTACCTATAATGATAAACTTTTGTTAATGAAAGAGAGTGCTTACCAGATGAGACACCAAACAGGTGTAACTGGGAAGTATTGTCAATCAACATATTGGGGCCTCAGTACCAACTCATTCAGAATCTAACATGCACACCACAGGCAGAAAGTAGGGACTTTGAATGTTTTAGAAGCTCTCCTAATTTATGATCCAGAGACTCTGTAGAATAATGGGGATGGAACAATGGGTATTCATACACTGGTTGGACTGATTTATAATAAGAGACTTAACTTTTAACTTCTTTACTCTCTACTTTATGCTATATCAAAAAGCAGTAAAAAACAAACAAACAAACATGCCTTCCCATTATAATGTATTTTCCCCTTTTGCTCATTATATGGTAATAGCATGATATACATTAATATTCTAACAAATTATAACAAAATAGGTTGCTTAAAACATCATACATTTATTAGCTCACCATTTGCATGGGGTCAGAATTTCAGGCACAGCTTAGCTGGGAGCTCTGCTTAGCATCTCAAAGAGCTGCAGCCTAGACTTTTGCTGGTCTGTGCTCTTTTTGAAACTTGAGGTTCCCTTCCAAGTTTGAGGTTATTGGATGAATTCAGTGCCAGTAGGACTGAGGTCTCTATTTCCTTGCTGGTGGTCATCAGCCCAGGGCCATGAGGCCTCTCAACACCGAGAGGCTGCGCTCAGAAATGTGTGTGTGGTGATCTCTAAGTGGTTTACAGCAAGGCTGTTCGCTTCTTCAAGGCCATAGGTGAGCATCTTTCTGGTTTTAAATCTCTCATCAAGTCAGGCTATCTTATCTAACAAAAGAGTAATATGCAGATTGACCATCATTCCAACACACAAGATGGCTGCCCCCATGTGGTCAAAGATCCTGCCCCCATGTGGACACAAGATGGCCACCACAAGATGGCCAGCAGGGGAGGGCAGTTGGGAGGGATCAGGCCTGCAAGGGAGGGCAGTTGTAATGACTACTGATTTCCTTAGTGTACGGTCTAGAATTTATTCTCTTGCTGAATCTTCAGTTTTATTTTCACTCCTCTCCCACTTTTCACCTTATAAATGGGTATTGCAGTAACATTATTATGTAAAAATCTGTCAATGTTTCTATTCTGTAGCAGAGATTCTTAGAGCTAATATTTAAAAATATATATATTTAAAACAATCTTAAACAAAAACTGCCAAATTGCCTTCAAGTGTAGTTCAGACTCCTTCCAACAGAACAATAAGAATGCTGATGTCACTGTATTCACATCTGGACCACACTTTAGCAAAATACATCCAGTGGGAATTGAGGAAATATCATTTTGGGAAAGTAAGAAAACCAGCATTCCTTCTAAAAGGTTGGCGATCTTTATTAATAACCTATTAACTGGGGAATTCCCTTTTTAATGATGCAATCTGTAACGGGCGCGTACTCTTTCACTAGGATGTGTCAGTACATCACGCCCAGAGGACGTAATTTCATATTATTTTTTTAATTTATACTTAATGAAAATAAATATTTTTTTTGTAATTTTGTATTTTTCTGCACAAAGGAAAATACAAAATTACCAAAAAAAAAAAAAAAATAGAAAAGAATACCGACAAAAAAAATGAACATGTCGAATTAAAAAATTATAAATTTTAAAAACAATAATAAAGATTACAAAAAATAGCCAAAACCGGTTTGGCTCAGTGGATAGAGTGTCGGCCTTCGGACCTAAAGGTCCCGGGTTTGATTCCGGTCAAGGGCATACACCTTGGTTGCCGGCACATCCCCAGTGGGGGGTGTGCAAGAGGCAGCTGATCAATGTTTCTCTCTCATCTCATCGGTATTTCTAACTCTCTCTCCCTTCCCTTTCCTTCCTCTCTGTAAAAAATCAATAAAATATTTTTTTTAAAAAAGATTACAAAAAATATATACCGTCCCTCTCAGAGCGCAACATATATTTCAAGGACGTATTCATACGTCCTACCCGTTTCCGATATTGTTTATGTTTGACGTATTTATAGATCCCGCTCAGTTTACAGGTTAACATTTATCAAGACTTGTAGGCTCTGTTTCTAATTATGTCATTTGCTTCTCTGTCTAGATTTTTTATGCAGTTCATGCCTTTGAAGCGCGGAGTAACTGTGAACTCAGCCTTCAGGAATATCAAAGAGTCCACATTCTTAGGTTTTGTGACCTAAGTGGCAATAAAGAGTGGTGGTTAGCTGAAGCTCGAGGGCAGAAAGGATATGTGCCAGCTAACTACCTTGGAAAGATGACTTACGCTTAAGAAAATCAGACTTCCTGTTTACTTAAAAGTGGAGATGTTCCGAGTGTGTTCTTTACCATCATGAAAAGTTGATTCTAAGGACAAGGTTTTTTTTTTTTTTTTTTTCAATTTACTGTATTTTATCTTTTTATATGATGTATTTCACCTAAAAAATGTTGTTTTCACATCTCTTTATTGCACGTGCATACACACACACATTCTATATAATAAAAGCCTAATATGCAAATTGTCCCCTCAACTGGGTATTCAACCAGTTCACACAGGAATTTGACCAAGGGGTGGGGCCAGCCCACCAACAGCCTGTGGCCCCTCCCCCTGGTCAGCCTTGTCCTTGATCCCCCGCCACCCTGATCAGGGGTGGGGTTGGCTGGCCAACCACAGGAAGGGAGGCCCCGGCCAGCAGTGGCAGGCAGGCAGCCAGGGGAAGGAAGACCCCGGCTGGCAGCTGGCAGCTGCTAGGGACCCTACCCATGCACAAATTTCATGCACTGGGCCTCTAGTATACCATAGTCATTATTCGGTTTATATATACATATGTGTACTACATGGTATAGATTATACACATATATACATGAACCAGGGAGTGTACTAAATACATAAAAATAGGAATTGATAATTAACAGCAAATAGAAATCTGATGTGGGGCTTCTCTTTAAGTTTTGAATGAAAAAAAAAAAAAAAGAATAACATTTGAATGAACACCAAATATCAGACATTGCCCTAAAAGCTTCATATGTGGTAACCTGTTTGATATAACATTGTGAGGAAACTGTGTCCCAAAGAGGTGAATTTAGCCCAAGTCACATTGCTAGTAAGTGGTAGGGTGGGGTCTCAAACCTAGGTCTGGTTGTGGGGTCCACACTGCACTTCACTGTCCTAACCCTCTAGGAGTGTACACTGAGTGGCCAGATTATTATGATCTCTGAACACATAATAATCTGGCCACTCAGTGTAGACATTTGCTACCACAAAGCAGTCAGTGATGCAAAGAATGGACATTGAGGAGGTCAATTTTCCTCTCAGGTCCATGTTTAAGTATTGAGGAGTTTTTCAAAATCAAGGGCTACAAGAACTTATATGATACTAGCCTAAAGAAAATGAAATATCTGGGTTATTTATTTTTACTGTTTTGCTTAAACATTTTTGAAGGTATAATTGTTTAAAAGCTACCCTACATGATTGCTGATGATATTTTAATGAGAAAATATTTTTGGATCATTCAGTTATTTGGATAATGAATGGGGAATGTGTGTTCCCTGTTCTGAGCCAAGATGCAAATATTTTTGGTTGCTGATTTATACTTAGACAAGGCAGGCACTGAAGTTAACGTTTGCTGTAACACAATGTCCTAGAACACTGAACTTTAATTTAGGATTAGCTCAGGACAGTCCCCTAAGATCTCAGGCATAGTTTGTCAAGATATTTTATTGAACTAAAGATGCTTCTATGGAACAGAAAAAAAACATTAAATTAAATTTGACTTAGTGGTTTTCTTTAAGAACCCAAAATAAGGTGGACTTTCATTGTCCGTGTAAAATATGCTAATATGACATCAAACTTTAAGATTAAGATTAAAATTATTTTAAAAGGTTTGATCTGTATAATGTACAGTTACATCTATTCCGAAGGAATACAAATAACAAAATGAAAGTGCTGCTTTTCAAAGGGTTGCTGACTTTTACTTACTTACTAGTATATGTACATATATGTACATCTACAGGTAGTCATAAGACATTTACATGTCAGAAATTTATCCACATGGAATATCTTATAAGACCCCAGTGGATGCCTGAGACCCAGGATAGTACGAAACCCTAGATCAAGGATGGACCTTTTTCTGCCAGGAGCCATTGGGATATTCATAACATCATTCATGGGCCATATAAAATTATCAACTTAAAAATTAGCTTGCTATATTTGATCAAACATTTAATTAACTCACCCCTAATGTTTTGGGGCAGGGTCAGACCAAATGATTTCATGGGCCTTATTGGGCCTGCAGGACAAATATTTCCTACACCTGCCCTATATATACTATGATTTCTCCTATACATATGTACCTATAATCAAATTTACTTTATAAATTAGGCATAGTCAGAGATGAAAACAATAACCGATAATAAAGTAGAACAATTATAACAATACTGTAATAATTTATGTGAATGTGGTCTCACTTTCAAAATATGTTATTGTACTGTATTCACCCTTCCATTGATGTAAGATTATACAATGTAAGATTATGCAATGAGGTGAATGGGTGACATTATCGGTATTATAATGTAGCATTAGGCTACTATAAGCACTGGGATACTCAACAGTCGATCTGATAACCTAGAAGACTCCTGAGTGACTTATAGGTAGGTAGAATAACAACACAAATATGCTGGACAGAGGGATGATTCATATCCCAGGCAGGACAGACCTGGATGGCATGAGATTTCATCACATTACTCAGAATGGAGCATGATTTAAAACTTGTGTTTTTATTTCTGGAATTTTCCATTTAATATTTTCTGGGCTATGATTAACTGTGGGCAAATGAAATTGTAGATAAGAAGGAGTACTGTTCTTAAAATTCTTAATCTAAATATGGTTTTATAAGATTCTACTGGTAACTCATTTTTGCATGAACTCTTTTCTTGTTTTGCGTTGGGTACCAAAAGAAGATTCTCTTTTTTAAATGTACAGGAACTTTTTCTTTGAAATGGTTATTTGTACCCAATAATAAGATATAAGTAAATTCCAGTTTGCCTAGGGTAAAGCAAAAGGAAATCCAAATTTGCTACTTGTGGAAACTATGAACATACCCCAAAACCAAGATAGTAGGGAAATTATATGTATTTGTAATTTAAATACATGCGATTTAAATTGTGATGTTAATACCCATCTCCCCTCCCACCACCACCAATGCAGAATTATACGAGTATCACATTTATTTGCTTTTCTAGCTGAGATATTGACTAGATGTATGTGAGAAGCTTTGTCCATTTGTGTGGGCCTAGGACCGATGGTTCCTGTCTGATCTCATCTATGAAGGAGCCACACCCTTAAAATCATAGCTGCAGTCGGCGGCTGAGCAAGAGTTGTAATGAAGCATCTACTGCAGTCCCCCACTCTCGTGCTGAACATTATTACTGTAAAACTCTGTTGTTGCTATTTTAAAACCATAACCTACATTTCATTTGCCACTTAGGCTTTATTTTAAAAAATATTTTTTACATTATACAATAATCTCATTATTTTAGTATGTTAAGATCAAGTCACTGCAATTTTAAGGCCAGGCATTATTTCACTGGGCCTAAGGGAAATAAAATCTCAAAATAGTTAAGATGTATATAAGTTTTCAAAAGTCTTCATAAATAAAGCTGTCGGTGAGAAATGTTAATGTAATTATTTATATTTTTAAAATTAAATGTTATTGTACAGTATTCTCTGAAATAGGTACTTTTTGCCAAGAACAAAGGGAAAATTTTTGTAATTATTTTTCTTTGTAAAACAATCAAGTGTATATATATATATATATATATATATATATATATATATATATTTTTTATTTAGTACTTATTTTTAAATACATGATTTAAATTAATATATATAATAAAGTTTAGAAAAAAATCCCCGTAATACAAAATTACCACGGGTACTTAAATCATGGGGGTGGAGGATCACAAAGCCACTATTTGAACATTCCTTGTATTTCAGAATAATATCTTGTTCTAGTATTCATTAGTATGAAACAATTCTAAGAAGGTTCCTTGTGAAGAAGAGATATAATGCGCATTGTTAACTATATGAATGCAGCACTGCTTAAAATACTGTAAGTAATTGGTATAGTCCATATTATGTCTAACATATAATTTGGACATTTCAGATGACCATTTAAGTGCCTGTCACTATCTGTGATGAATAGTTCAGATGAGTTACACAAATTACAGTTTTCATTATTGAAACATGAATTTTAAAACTTCTTACTTTTCCCATAAGCTTCTTTTTGTCCACTGTAAAAACCTCTTAAATCCAAGTGAATAAAGAGAGAAATGTTTATATTCTAAGATGGCCAAAAAACTCACTCTGTTTAAATCCTGTTTGCTGTAACTATGGTTTCTTAAGGTACTCAGTGCACTGCCCCACACTAAATACACCCATACCTCACAAATTCAAGCTAAATTAGACATGTAAGTTTACATTATAGTTGATGAGAAAGTAATTAAATTTTAATAACTGGAAGGACACTAGATTTTACAGTCTTTAGGGATATCCTACTATTTATAGAATGCTAGTGTTTTTACAAGTCTAATTTTTCAATTACCTCCCTCCTCTGGTACATATTGCATAATATATATAAAAACTTAAGTCATTAAATTTTCTGGGATCTACCAAATTATTCTAATATAATGAATCTGAACTCCAAGATGACTAAAATTCAAGCTGAGTCTCTGAGGCCAGACATTACACTCTGGGCAAGATTTGCTTTAGGTGTTCAGTTAAACAAACCACATTTAGCATATTCTGGAATGAGATGTTCTTATTAAAAAAAACCTACAGGGTGGATTCTTAGTAAATTAAATAAACGTATCTTACTTAAAAAGCTAGATTATGGTATGTAAATGCATTTCTGGTTTTCTCTACTTATGTAATTTTCATAATTATTGAATAAAAATTCCTGTAAAATGATGTAGTATCAATATTTCCTATAACCTATGGCTATCATAATTTATATTATCAGTTACTAATAGTACTACCACATCTTTGCTAAGTCAGAATCACCTAACCTTTGAACATTAGATGCCTTCAATTTTGTCTCATTAATTATTATCTGTTTTTAAAGAGGAGAAAACAAAGAGTTTCACACAGCTAATACATGGAGGGACAGAGATCCAAAACCCGGTCTCCAGACTTTTAACTAATATATTCTTTCAATGTTTTCCTTTCCTATTTTAAGTAGAATCTATGACTAAATAATCTTACAATAAGCACAGTACACAAGACAGAAAAGTGAT